TTTTAAAAAAGTAGTTGCTAATTTAATGAAAATATAAGTTATTTGGCAACACATTTAACACATTTTACATCACACGTGAAATATTTATTTAGAGAGAATGGCTTCTCACTCAAACTTTTTTTTTTTTAGATTTTATTTATCTATTCATGAGAGACACACAGAGAGAGAGGCAAGAACATAGGCAGAGGGAGAAGCAGGCTCCATGCAGGGAGGCCGACGTGGGACTCGATCCCAGGTCTCCAGGACTGGAGGCCCTGGGCTGAAGTTGGTGCTAAACCGCTGAGCCACCCGGGCTGCCCTGAAACTGGTCTTAATCCAAGAATAATTCCTTAAATCTATGTTATTATTATTTTTTTGCTTCCCTTTCGTTTTTAAGTGATTCCAACCAGTGACCTCTATAAGCTTGCAGGACTAGCATTAACTGAGGTTATTTCAGAATGCACCTTCCCCACACAGTACTTTGACTGAAAACAAAATATATAAAACAGATATTGTGGACTATAATAACAGACTTCGTAAGAACACAGATACAAGGCAACTTCTTTTCTGAAAAATTATTTTGAGAAGAAAAACATTACCTTATATTCAGGTGTATGAGACATTTGTTCATTTAACAAATATATTTTTTAAGAGATAATTTTTATTTATTTATGATAGTCACAGAGAGAGAGAGAGAGGCACAGAGACATAGGCAGAGGGAGAAGCAGGCTCCATGCATCGGGAGCCCGACGTGGGATTCGATCCCGGGTCTCCAGGATCGCGCCCTGGGCCAAAGGCAGGCGCCAAACCGCTGCGCCACCCAGGGATCCCTCGTTTAACAAATATTTAATGAGCACTTGTTGTGTGCCAGGCACTGTGCTAGCGACTACAAATTCAGTGACCTTAGAATCTTGTGGGGAAGACAGTCATTAAATGTGTAACGCCACAGCTAATTAATTATTATCATTTTAAGTACTATTAAGGATAAGTATACCCAGCTACAAAATAGAGGATTAATACTCGAGGAACCCAAGTCTGTAGGATAAAAAAAATAGTTGTTCCAACAGTGCTGTTATTTTTATTATTTTTTAAATATTTTATTTGTTTGACACGCACAGAGAGAGAGAGAGAAAGAGAGAGGAGAGAGCACAAGCAGGAGGAGCGGCAGGCAGAGGGAGAAGCAGGCTCCCAGCGGAGCAGGGAGCCCAACTCGGGACTCGATCTCAGGACCATGGGATCGTGGCCTGAGTCAAAGGCAGATGCTTAACTGATTGAGCCACCCAGGCGCCCCAGCGGTGCTGTTTATATACAGTGCAGTAGTAATTCATGTGCCCAGTCTATCGGAGTTCAAATACTGACTCAAATCTTGAGTAGGTTACTTAACCTCACTTTCCTCATTTATAAAGTGGAGCTAACAATACTATCTACCTCATGAAGTTGTACTGAGGATTCAAAAATTTTTTTTAATTTAAATTCAATTAATTAACATATATTGTTAGTTTCAGAGGTACAGGTCAGTGATTGATCAGTCTTATATAATACCCAGGGCTCATGACATCATGTGTCCTCCTTAATGCCCCTCACCCAGTTACCCCATCCCTTCACCCCCTTACACTGAAGATTAAATGACTTAATACACATAAAGCATTAAGAACAATGATGGCACATGGTGCCTGCTTAATAAATGCCAGCTATTATTGTCATTTCAGCTGGAACCTGAAACAAGCCGGGAGGAAGGGAGGAAACTCCAAGCAGGGGTGCTCAGGTGGGTCAGCCAGTTAAGCATCTCGCTTCAGCTCAGGTCATGATCCTGGTGCCTTAGGATCAAGCTCCATATTGAAGCTCCCCACTCAGTGCAGAGTCTGCTTGAGATTCTCTCCCTTTGCCCCTCTGCTCCTCTCCCCACTCATGCTCTCTCTCAAATAAATAAAATCTTCAAAAAGAAGAGGAAGGAGGAGGAGGAGGAGGAGAGAGAAAGAACTTTAAACAAAGAGCAACATGTGCAAAAGCCCAGAGCATAAGGTTGCTTGGCCTACAGTAGAACTGAAAGGTCAGTGTTTCTTAGCATAAAAAGCTACGGGGGAAAAGATACTTGGGAGATACGAGATGAGGCTGGGAAGATAGGTTGAAGTCAATAATGCAAAGCCTTGCAGGTCGGGTTAAGGAGTCTGAACTTTATCCTGAGTCAGGAAACCTGGAAGGTTTTATAAAGGGGAGTGACAAGCTTAGATTTGCAATTTTCAAAGCTTTCTCTGGCTATGGAATGAAAACTGGTTGGAAAGAGGCCTTTGGCCTCTATTTTATAGATGATGGAGAGACCAGTAAGGAAGTTGATCCTCGTCTTCTAGATCAGAGGTGGGTGGTGGCACAGAAGAGAGAAGGAAACTGGATGACCAAAGAAATGGTTAGAAGGCAGAACCAGCAAGACTTAACTGTGTGCATGTTGCAGTGAGGGGGCGTGCAGGGAGAGGCGCTAAACAAGAAACGTGCATTTGAGGAAGGAAGGAGGGAAAGAAGGAATTCCTGTGTTCCTGCCATATTGTTTTGCTGCACGAAATGCCTTTCCTCTATCCATCTCTCCTGGCACTGTACCTTCCCGTTTCCTCCACAAAACTATCTTGGATTTATCTTGTCCCCTTCTTTCTAGGGGTGTTCTAGAATTTTAGAGCGAGACATTCTTGAGATACAATTTGCTAAGCATAGCTAATTGTATCTCAAGAATGTCTCTGAAGACAGGATCGTATTTTAGTCAACTTTCCATCCCACCCCCGTCACCTGCGCAACACTTGTAGAGATCATCATTGCAGAGCATTTTCTCTGACCTCATAAGTGGTACAATCATAAGCCGCCTAGGCTAATATGAAGCTCCTGGACCCACTACACATTATACGGAGCTTTCATGACCATTTTCTTCTTGGATCTTCACACATCTCTTATAAATTATGTAAGTACTGTTACAGGGGGAATAACCTCAGAGCTAAAGTGACAGGTCCAAGGTCACACACACGAAAGGCAACGGCAATGCTAAGATCTGAACCTAGACCCTGTTTCCATTTTCCAAATGGGATCCTTTCTTACAACTCTCCGTGGACCGTAAATATTCATAGGTACTTAAGACAGTATATTCTCAGAGGCAGCTAAGCACCACTTCTAAGAATCCTCAGCTTCTTCAGTAATTAATTCATTCAAGAATATTTATAAAAATATTCTGGGGGATCCCTGGGTGGCTCAGCGGTTTGGCAACTGCCTTTGGCCCAGGGCGCAATCCTGGAGTCCCAGGATCGAGCCCCGCGTCGGGCTCCCTGCGTGGAGCCTGCCTCTCCCTCTGCCTGTGTCTCTGCCTCTCTCTATCATGAATAAAAAATAATAATAATAATGATAAAAATCAAAATATTCTGTGCTGGGGACTACAAATTCCGTGGACCAAGGGGTGTCTGGGTGGCTCGGTTGGTTAAGCATCAAGACTCTCCATCTCAGCTCAGGTCTTGATCTCAGAGTCGTGAGTTTTATTTATTTATTTTATTTTATTTTTTTAATTTTTAAAATTTATTTTAATTTACTTTTTTTTTTTTTTATTTATGATAGTCACAGAGAGAGAGAGGCAGAGACACAGGGAGAAGCAGCTCCCTGAACGCGCCCATCTGTCTAATTTACTTTTTTATTTTTTAATTTATTTTTATTTATTCCATTTTGTTTATTTATTATTTTATTTATATTTTATTATTTTATTTTATTTATTTTATTTTATTTTAATTTTTTATTTTGAAGGTTTTATTTATTCATGAGACAGAGAGAGAGGCAGAGACACAGGCAGAGGGAGATGTAGACTCCCTGTGGGCTCATGCCTTGAACCACCCAGAGTTTATTTATTTTTTTTATTTTTATTTTTTAAATTTTTTTTAATTTTAATTTATTTATGACAGTCACAGAGAGAGAAAGAGAGAGAGGCAGAGACACAGGCAGAGGAAGAAGCAGGCTCCATGCGCCGGGAGCCCGACGTGGGATTCGATCCCGGGTCTCCAGGATCGCGCCCTGAGTCAAAGGCAGGCGCCAAACCGCTGCGCCACCCAGGGATCCCACCACCCAGAGTTTAAACGCTGCACTGGGCCTGACCCTGGGCATGGACCCTAAAAAAAAAAAAAAAAAAAAAAATTATTGAGCACCTACTACATGCCAGGCATGGCACCTAGTGTTAGGGGCAGGGTGCAGCAGTGAACAAGGCAGGAAGGTGCTTGTCCTCAGTCTTACTCGGGGAGCGGACCAAACAAATGTATAAACGCCGTAAGCGGTAGACGCTAAAAAATAAATAAATAAAATAAAAGACAAAAAACAAATACATGGCAGCCCGGGTGGCCCAGCGGTTTAGCGCCGCCTTCGGCCCAGGGCGTGACCCCGGAGACCTAGGATCGAGTCCCACGTCGGGCTCCTGCGTGGGGCCTGCTTCTCCCTCTGCCTGTGTCTCTGCCTCATGAATAAATAAATAAAAATTAAAAAAAAAAAAAGCCCACACAAGGTGATGGAGGAAGATGTGTATCCTCGAAGGACAGGCGGACAGTCTGGAAACCGGCGGCGACAGCAGGAAGCGCTCCGACCCCGGCTCCACCGGCTCCACCGGCTCCACCGGCTCCCGGCCTAGTTCCTGCCGCCGCCACTAGAGGGCGCCGCGGCTCCAGGCCCCGCCACGGCGCCGCCGGGCACCCACCGCGTCGACGCCCCGAAGCCGGGGATACGGGCAGACGGCGAGGGCGGCGCTAGGAAACCCTTGGGAATCGCGGGGCATCGGCAGCGCCCTCGGCGAGAGACCGTCCTCAAGATCACAGACCCTACGTCCTCGCGGCCTCGGCGACGGCCCGCTTCCGGCGCCTTTAAACCAGGAAACACCGGCTGCGACCAATCAGGGCCCTTCTCGCGCTACGTCGCCTTAGCACCGCCTCCTCGCCGGCGAGCGCCCGACGGCCACCAATCAGCACTCAGGGTGGGCGCAGGCGCCCTGGCACGGGCGTGACGTAAAGGCGACCTCCCTCGCGGTGAAGATGGCGCTCTCCAGGGTGTGCTGGGCTCGGGCTGTCCTGTGGGGCTCGGCGGCCACCCCCGGGCCTCATGTCCCTCGGAAGCTGCAACTTGTTCGCTGTGGCCTGGCCTGGGGGGCCCCTCGGTGAGGGACCTGGGACAAAGGAGAGCGTTTCCGACATACAGGCCCTCCCTTCCAGTGTCTCAACCTTGTTTGCATGCTGGTCTCTAGTTGTCAGCATCCCACGCCCTGGCCCCGGGGGTTTTATTCTTCGGCTTCCAGGCCCTCAGGGCTGTCAGTGGCCCGTGTCCGAATTCCCCAGTGGCCTGGACTCCTCCTTCAGCCTCCCTTTTCCGGCTCAGGCTCCACGGCTACTCCTCCGGATCCCATCGCGGGCCTTAGCTTGCTGTTGAAACGGCCCCTGCAGCCTCATCCCACGCCCGACGTCCCTTCCCGCCGGATCTTTCATCGGCCCGATATGTATGTTTCCCGGGCCGATTGCTTAGCTCTCCTTGAGCCCAAGATCTTCCTTGGATTTCGGAAGGTTCAGATCTCAGCACACGTCCTCTGAGCCTGGTGTTTGACATTAGTTCCCAAGGGGGCTCCGGGGACCGATTCCCACCTAGTCTCTTTGATCTTCCTTGTAGGTCTTCAAAGCTTCACCTTTCTCCAAAGGCAGACGTGAAGAGCTTGATCTCTTACGTGGCGGCCAAGACCAAAGTGATTAATGGGAAATATCATCGTTTCTTGGGTCGTCATTTCCCCCGCTTCTATGTCCTGTACACAATCTTCATGAAAGGTAAAAACCCCCAAACAGCGATCCCTGGAGTCCATTCCCGGGCAAAGTCCAGGAGTGTTAGAAAAAGGAAGATTATTTGCATGTCGCGCTGCGTGGTGTGAGCTGGGGTGTTGTAGAAATGCTTGGCATTAAATTCTTAGAAGTTTAGCACTTCTGGTGAATATTTCTAGAAAAAAAGTGTTAGGACAGACGTCTTTGACCACATCCAGGGGGGAATGTAGGTATTTTTGCACTTTTCGTAGCCACACGCAGCTGACTGTTGTAGCGATTCTTTGACGTGCACCAAGCCAGGCATCTATGGCTGCACAGACCTGCCCTGTGGTTTATCAACTGACTTGGCCCATAAGAAAGTGTGGTCTGATGCTTGCCATAGATCTGTCCTAGATACGTGTTGTGGATATACTCACGTTCTGAATGTTTTCGTTCAGATCAGAGCTGTGCTAGTTACTAGAATACGGTGCGATGATGATGACAGGTGTCCACTCTTGCCAGACTGCCTGGGTTCAAATCCCAGCTTGTCACTGACGATGTGATTGGACTAGTTACTTAACCTCTCTGTCTGTTGGTTTTCTCATCTGTAAAACATGGAAAATAATAGGACCTACCTATTGACCGCGTGGTTGTGAAGTTTAAATAAAAACACCAATACATCTAAAGTACTTAGGGCCCGATCATCATATGTGCTCAATAAATGGGTCTATGACTATAATACTTTTATCATAACAGCAGTTACAGTAAACTGCCATATCGTCGGCTGTGAAAATTATCAGGATTGCTCCTAGCTTCATAGACTTGCAAAATCTGAAGTAGAAGTAGAATGGCTGCTTTGTCTGCTACCAGGTTTATAACTAGGATTAAACAAGAAAAGGGTCTGGAAGAAGAATTTTGGTTGGTTGGTTTTTAATTACAGAAAATTTTAAACATACACAAAAGTAGAGAGAATAATACAATGAATTTTCACGTACTCAACCTTACTTCAACAGTTTGCAACTTGTTGCCACCGATCTTACTTTATTTATACACTTGCCTTCTCCTATATGATTTTGAAGCCAACCTAGGCATAGTGTCATTTCATTCATAAATATGAAAGCATTTTTGAAAACTAAAGTCTTAGACAAAATGTAAGAATTATCATCAGATGAACAGAAAAATGCAATCATAGAAATATGTTGAATTAATACTATTTCTAACAGTGTTCCTGAAAGGAGATAAGTTAATATCTTGTCTGGGGAATACATAAGGGTAATTGAGGAAGACTTCTCAAGGTTATGGAGCTTTTGAATTTTTATTTTAAAGTGGGAGTGAGTAGTGAACCAGAAGAGGGAGAGCATTCCATAAATAGATCACAGAAGGCCAACTTGGCTGGAAGAGAGGTGATGTGCCGGGGGGGAAAAAGAATGAGAAGAGAGATATAGGTTGGCCTCACAAGAGTTTCGAATGTCCTCATTTGGAGCTGTGACTCAGAGTGGTATTGGGGAGGGACAAGTTTGTGTGTTGTTAGTAAACAGGGAGTTGGGAAGTTGTGATAAGATTCAAACTGGGATAACATCACACTCTGTCCTCTACTTTAATGAGGCAGGATTGCAGATGTTTTGGGCTGATGCCAAAAAGGCTAGAAGAATAAAGACAAATATGTGGAAGCACAATATAAAGTTTCATCAACTTCCATACCGGGAGATGGAGCATTTGAGACAGGTACGGGCCAGGGGCAGATACCCAGAATTTCATGGTGAGGTAATTAAAGTTAACCAAGATCTCAAGGTTTTGTTTTGGTTTGGTTTTCTATCTTGTTCACCACTGATCAGCCTTCTCCCCTCTGCTGTGAGATCAAAGTATTCATCTAAAGGAGAGCATCAGGTTATTTGTCAGAATTTTTTTTTTTTAAGATTTTATTTATTTATTCATGAGACACAGAGAGAGAGGCAAGACACAGGCAGAGGGAGAAGCAGGCTCCATGCAGGGAGCCGGATGCGGGACTCCATCCCAGGTCTCCAGGATCACACCCTGGGCTGAAGGCGGCGCTAAACTGCTGAGCCACCCCGGCTGCCCAGTCAGAATTGGTTTTATTCCGAGTTGTAGCCCTCTGTAACAGAGCTCCATAAAGAGCATACTGGCATACTTGATGAATAGAAGTCGTAAATACTAAAATGTAGTTCATTTCCGAATATGTAAATATCTGCAGGGATTAAAAAGGCAGCGGGAAAGTAGTATTTGGTGGTGACTTGAGTAGTTTTAAAGCTGAAACTGAGGACCTAGGACCCATTCGTCACATCAGGAAAAATGTGTTGAGGGATTTGGTATAATGTCAGGCCCTGTACTAGACATTATTTGGGATACAAAAATGAACAAATCAGGGCTTCTGTTCTCAAGGAACTTACCAGGTAGAGGTAGATAGAAATAACCTTGATCCTTCTCTGGGCTGCAGTAGGAGTTAACTGCACAGTGTGGGGGAGGGATTGTTCACTGTCTTAAGAACTTACCTGGGTTAAAACTGCATCTGTGTTTATTTCTGCTTAGTTCCGTCGAGACGTCACCAAGTGTCTTTTCCTAGGTATTATTTCCATTCCACCCTTTGCCAACTACCTGGTCTTCTTGCTAATGTGAGTATAGACTTCTATCTTCCCAGAATATTGAAGAAGCAAAGATTTTTTTTAATTAAAAATTATTTTAAGAACTTTCCATTTCAGAAGTAGGCAGAGATTATTGCACTAACTGCTCCAATCTTCTAATTAGCCACTCAGTAACACTTGGATTACTGGATCAGCTGTAGGTATAGGTAGCTTAGACTTTTCTTGTCTCTTAGCTGCCCCTATATGATATGAAATAAGATTATGATCTTTTCCATCATCCCTTGAGGCAGCAACCCACTCCCTGGAAGCATAGCAATTTGGGAGATTTTTTTTTTTGGAGAGAAATGCATTGCATATTCTGATAACATAAAATAAATTTTTATTACTTTACTTTGGATCCAAAGATGACAGTTTTTGTTTTTGTTTTTTTTTTAATAATTTATTTCTTTTGAGAGTCAACAAGAGCAAACAAGCATAGTGGGGAGGGGCAGAGAGAGAGAGAGAATCTCAACCAGACTCCCCGCTGAGCATAGTGCCCAACAGGCGGCTCGATCCCACAGCCCTAAGATTATGACCTGAGCTGAAATCAAGAGTCAGATGCTTAACCAATGAGCCACCCAGGTGGCTTTTAAACTATGACGTTGCATGTTATTTTAGCTCTCTGTTGCTGTATGGCAAATAACTGTGCGAAGCTTAACAGCTTTTCCTGGTTTTGTGGGTCAGGAAATTGGGCAGGTTTCAGGTGGGTGACTGATTTTTCTCTTCCATGTGGTGTTGACAGAAGTCCTTCAGGGGCAGTTAGCTGATGATGGTCTAAGGTCACTTTTATGTCTGGTGCCTTAGCAGGGAAAGCTGGAACTCTGAATCAGATTGCCTGCATGTGGCCTCTTTAATATGGTGGCCTCAGAGTAATAGGACTTCTTACATGGCAGCTCAGGGTTCCAGTGGTGAGTGTTTTAGCAAATAAGAATCTGCGTGGCCTTTTATAACTTAGCCTCGAAGGTCACAAAGACTCAACTCTGCTCTGTTTTATTGGTTGAATCAGTCCCCCAGATTTAAAAAATAAGGGGACACAGACCTCACTTCTCAATCAAAGGAATGTCAGGGATTTGCAGCTGTGCTCTGAAACCACCACCCGTGCGGAAAAATAAATTAAAAAAACAAATTTGCCTGTAACATTTTATATACACATACGAATCGTGCTGTAGTTTGAAGTTGTCAGCATCACATCCAGTGACCGGCTCTATCTACAACTCTCTCCAACTCTATCCAAGATATGTTCTTCAAATGCTTTAGTTCGAGTGAAGTCCCTTTTTCTAATCACTGCAAGCGAGGCTATCCCACTACTGCTTCCTTTCACATAACCTCAGTAACGTTGCTTGAAATTGTGCTTCAATGTATCTTTAAACCTCGAGCTGAGACTCATTTACAGAAAAGAACAGTGGGCTTGGGAAGTAACGTCTCCGTCTCTTCTTCCCAGTGTTCATGTCTGCCAAATGCTTTCGGGGAGCTCTTTGAAAGGAAAGAGGCCTGTTTCAGCAAGTGACATTGTGATTCCTTCTCCTTTCAGGTACCTGTTTCCTAGGCAGCTACTGATCCAACATTTCTGGACCCCAAAGCAACAGATTGATTTCTTAGATATCTATCATGCTCTCCGGAAGCAGTCCCACCCAGAAATCCTTTGTTATTTAGAAAAGGTTATCCCTCTCGTTTCCGATGCAGGACTCCGATGGCATATGACAGAGCTGTGCACCAAGGTATTCCTTCAGCTACCCCTTCCTGCAAACTGTGACTCTTGTCAGACCCTGTTTGCACTAAAACTAGGAAAGAGGGCCAGGCAGGACCTTCCTAACCTCTACCAATCTCTCACCTCTCCCAAGATACAGCATGGTACCCACCCAACAGTACATGATATCCTGGCTCTGAGACAGTGTTTCTCTAACCATCCTCTGGGCATGAACCAACTCCATGCTTTGCAAATGGTGAGCACTTTGAGGCTTTCTGTGTTCCGCAGCCTCACCTTGCCTCAGGTTTTGCATGTGGTAATGACTGTTGACTTTGCCCTCCTGTGCTGTTGTGTTACAGAAAGCCTTGAGTCGAGCCATGCTCCTCACGCCTCATCTGCCTCCTTTCTTGTTGAGACGCCGTTTAAACACTCAGATGGCTGTAATTCACCAGCTGGACAAAGCTTTGGCAAAGCTGGGGGTTGGCCAGCTGACTCTCCAGGAAGTGAAATCGGTAAGAACTTACTGCAGTAGCAACCCTCAGTCCTTGGTGGGCTCTCGAGCCAGCTCACGGGGCTGGGAGCTTACAGAGAGCTCCCTGTTTTGCTTGTTAGAACAAAACCCAAACTCTATTCTTTCACCTCATTTCTGTGTATTTTTTTTTCTCAGTGAATTTCACTCATGGAAAGGAATTGCCCATAGTAATTTTGATTTATGTTTCTTTTCTTTTGGCCCTTAAGAAACTAAGGACACCCTTCTTTAGACCTTGTGTTTTAGGTGATGTAGGCCTCTTTGGTCGTCCTCTTGTCTGTCCCTCGTAGTTCAGCTCGCCATGGGGAAAGCTTCCTTCTGGGCATGGGGTTGTGACTTATTTATATATATATATATATATATATATATATATATATATATATATATATATTATTATTTAAAGGAGATTTTGAATTATATGTGTGTTTACAGTTCATGGGCATATTTGCTATGTGACTGTGGAGGACTGTTTCTCTTCTGAGTGATACAGGCTTGTTATCTTCGTGGTCTGAATTCTACCCATATTGCTGAAGAGAAGTGTCGAACGTGGCTGGGAGAGTGGCTACAGATTTCCTGCAGCCTGAAAGGTAAGACACATCCCTATGGTTATGCCATTAAAATCCACAGAATTGTATTTTATTCTAAGATTATTTTGGAGTAGATTATTAATTACTGTAAAACCCTCGTTTAATAGACATCTCTAATTGAAAGGGTGTAAACTCTTGCCTACAGGGGCTAAGCAGGTAATGAAGTAGACTCTGCAAGACATGAGGGAGTAGTGGGGACTGTGGGAGCCCAAGACTGCACACATGCCCGTCTGAAGCAGTTTCTCAGCCTCGGCACTATTGATGCTAATGTCCTGTGCCTTAGAGGGTATCTAGCAGTATCCCTGGTCTCTACCCACTAGATGCCAGCAGCATCTTCCACACCAGTTCTTCTTCTTTTTTTTTTTTTGTTAAGATTTTATTTATTTATTCATGGGACAGAGAGGCAGAGACACAGGCAGAGGGAGAAGCAGGCTCCCTGCAAGGAGCCTGATATGGGACTTGATACTGGGTCCCCAGGATCACACCCTGGGCTGCAGGCGGCGCTAAACCCCTGCGCCACTGGGGCTGCCCTTCCACACCGGTTCTGACAACCAAAAACGTCCCCAAACATTGCCAGATGTCCAGTAGGGGACAGGAGAACAGAATGATCCCTACTGAGAAGCACTAGCCTAAAGGCATTCAAATTCAGAACAAAAACACTCAGTTGGTTAAATAAAAAGTACCTGAGGCTGCGTATTAGGCCTGTGGGTCTCTTGTTGGATCCTTCGGCTAGGCCTTGATGTTTTTCTAAGCCTGTGAATACCAGGGCAGGCCCACTAATCTCCTTGGAGTCCAGAAATGTTTCCAGAGCACCCGCTCCTACCAGAAGAATCCCAAGGGTGACTGTGGTGTTGTGTATCATCGTTACCATCTCTGAATTTTCTACTGCCACCACATAAGAGTCAAGAAGTGAGGGTGAGTAGAAAGGAATATCTGGTGGAAGGAAAGGAAGGTGTACATGCGGGGACTGGAGTGAAGCAGGGAGCATTGAGAACAGTAGTCCCTGGTGTCCCACGTTTGCACTTGGCTTCCTGCCTCCAGTATCAAGCCCCAAGGCAGTTAGAAAGCTGAGTGTTCCTGGCCAAACCATTAACGCTGATGGTGTTTACAGAAGCTGAGCTGTCCCTCTTGCTACACAACGTGGTCCTGCTTTCCGTCAACTACGTTGGGACAAGGCGCTGAGCGAACACGGAGTGGATGGCATTGTCCTGCAGCCACATAGTCACAGCAGCGTGGTACCAAACAGCACTGGGCGGCAGAGTGTGTGTGCACTCTTAGGTGTGCGGGAGGCAGAGGAGCAGGTGCCACAGGCTTCGTAGCGTGGTACCCATGTTGGAGCTGGAACTGAAACAAATCCTCTCTCCAGAGGGGGCCCATGTGAGGTCTCTTCCCAACTTCCTCAGAATCAGCCTGAGCTGCCTCTGTACTGGGCTTTAATTGTGATGTTTGAAGTCCAGATCCTAGAAGTGAGCTTTTGCCCCAGGTGGAAATCCTCATTTGGCCTAGGACTTACCCACGGACGGCCACACTCATTACAGCTGTGTTTTTGGTAGTTTCTGGCTGGTGAGGGGAATAGCACTGTTTGAATTGGAGCATTGACATCTATGGGTGTACCTCAGTGCTGCCCTCAAAACTTTTTGTTATGACCAAAAATTGGCTTTTTTTTGGTTCCTTCACTGGGTTAACCACTCCCTTTCCTTTCCAAATCCTTGAACATCTTTTTATTTTTTTTTTAAGCAAATAGTTATTCATGTACGGGAACATTCTAGTGGAAAAGATAGAAGGAAATACAAGTGTTTCTTGACCCTTCCCTTATTTATAGCCTTCATGCCCACCCCGCGCCCCCACCCCCTTGTCTTAATTTCTGGGCTGTGCTGCCGCCCCTAAGGATCTTGAACTCTGCTACCTCCACTGTGCTACAGCGGTCCAGCTGTGATGGACAGTGGCCACCATCTTTGGGCCATGGATTAAATCTCTAAGGTAGTAGTGACTGCCCCGCGGGGGGACCAGGAGAGGCCTGCATTGTGAGTAAGTTGGGTTTAGCTTTTGTCTGTGTACATCAGTGGCTTGTAGTAACTTATTGTAAATGCATGAAGCACTGTTTCAAAGCCAAAGTAAAGACTGCCTGAAACTGGTTGCTGAAATGACTTATGCATCTAATTATTTTGCTGAAGCTCCTCTGACAAGACTGACATAAAACCTAACTAATGGGGAGGTAGCTGGTTGGAATAGAAGCTTCTGTTGGGATGGAAGTTCGGAGGGAACTGATTTGACACTGATGCTCTTTGCTGTGTTTTAAGATGGTAACAGGGAACAGAGGCTCTGGAATTAGCAAGTGAGCCCCCAGTGGAGGGCCTACAGGAAGGGAAAAGCTCCAACAGGGCAGGACCAAGGCCTGCTTCAGCTGAAGAGGCACATAAGGGCAGATGCTGCAAGTGAAGCTCTTGATGCTCCAAAGAGAATGTTCTATTTTCCCCACCATGATGTTAACATTAATCTCAAACTGACCTAATTAGATTTATATAGGACTCTAGAGAAACACCCTTTCTCTAACAAGTAACCAGCCTGCCAAGATAAAAAATAACACACTGGTCTTTTGAATATTTCTTTAATATTACATTTAAATATTCTCTTTAAATACAGCATTATCACAATGTAAAGGACCTAAAAGGCAAAAAAAAAAAAAAAAAAAAAAAAAAAAACCTTTTTCAGAGAACCAGACAAGCTTTGGATTCACATTGAAAATACTACCTGTATACAGTATGTGAGAAAGGAAACTGGAAAGAATGAGTTGCAGTAATAAATTTCTTTTGTCGAGGCCTAGATGGAGCAGGGCCGAAGCGGTCTGCTCCTGCGATCAGAGGCCGAGGCTTAGCTTTTCTAGCAACCGTGAGCTAGAAGCCCGTCCAGCTCAGGTAGCACCAGAAACGAGATGGACTAGGTCGTAGAAAAGGCCCTTTGCTTGACAAGACGGTTAATGTTCGATGTTAATATTCAGCATTTAAAAATGGGATCGGCGGGAGTCGGAATTGTTAACGGAGGGATGGACTTGGGTTAAGAAACTAGTTTTTCAAATACCGCTTCTTGGCCTTTTGGCTAAGATCAAGTGAAGAAACTAGTTTTTCAGAAAAACCAATTATCTTGGGGGTTGGCAATCAGTTTAACAGATTCAGATTCTTGGGTTGATCCCAAAGGCTAGTGTCTCTTCTGGAGCAGCTGGAATCCGCTTCCTAGGTGAGGCTGGAGCCTCCCTAAGGAGGGAATGTGTAGAGCCCACCCTCCCCTTCCAACAGACTCCGCAAGAGTCTTCTCCATAGCCGAGTTTGCAGGGAAGCTTCAGTCTTGTAGTCGGGGCTGCTGAAGGTGGGAAAGTGGGGCTCCGCTTAGGAGAGCGCTAGATCTCAGGTACCTAAGACTCTCTGCTTGGTGAGGCTAAAGGATGGGGGGAGACAAGGTCCTGTACTTAAGAACTCCCCTCCACTGTAAAACCAAGCACAACCGGGAATGAACAGGAGAGGCAGACTGGGCTAAAGGATGTGTCTGTTTAAGTACAAGGCCTCGCAGGCTCAGTTTAGAAACGTGATAGGCCAAATGCTGCTGTGACACACATAAAGGGTGCTTGAACGTCGCACGGGAAAAGGCTCCGTGAGGAAGGTAAGTGGGAAGAGGTCTCTCCCCCACCAAAACCCAAAAGGGGTTCACTTGTTCTTTCCTGGTTCATAAACCATAATAAAATTGAGGCATGACGTAAAGGATGCTAGAGAAGTGTGTTTTGCTCCCCACTGTCTCCGTTTTAAAACGGAGGCAGAGATAACTGGTAATAAAAAGAACTCCGCGGTGTTCAGCGGAGCACATCCTGGAGCATAGGCCGGACATAAAAGGAGCAGACACCGTGTCCCCCCCACCGAGGTAAGAAGTGAATTTGAGTCCCGCTTTATAGATCGCAAAGGTTATAGTCAGAACTTGAGTTCTTGGGAAGCTGGGGGCTGTATTTAAGTTTGGCTTCCAATTTTCATGTATCAAGACGGAGGGATCCAATAAACCTTGGCAGTTCTGGGGCTACGGGGAGGGAGGAAGAGGAATAGTATAAGGACTCTAACCCTGTATATCCAAGGACCACAAGGGCAGAAACAGAAGAAATAAGAACAAAAACTAGTTGGTGACTTTGGGTTGCCACATCCTATATTCCTTTAAAGCTCAAACCTCCCAGAGTGGGGGGAAAACCTGGGTGAAAAAGCAAGCGTGGCACAAATAGAGTCTTCTTCCCAGACAGCAGCCTGTTCCTGCTGCCTCTTCCGGACGTAGTTAACGCTCCAGATGTGCCTCCCGTGGGCCGGGAGCCCCAGCCTAACGCTGCCCGGCACAGCTAGCGCTGGACTCCTACCGAAGACTCGGGCTCTTTGGGCCACGTCCCCAGCCAATCTAGCTTTTTCTTCAAGGGAAAAGGAAGGAAGGGGGGATAAAAGACAAATAGACAAGTTTAACTCTAGTACCTAAGAACATGTGAAAGAAATAATTCAAGTTACAGACCAGGACTCCCCAGTGTGGGGAACAGGTCAGAGAACACGAAACATGTCAAATATTAACTTATTTACCAAACGGGGGGGCCAGGGAAGGCAGGTTAAATTTTGATAAATCCTGGAGGTTTTCTTCAGAAGCAGAGACCCTTCCATCCACTCCTCTCTAGACCTGACCAGGTGATTCTCCAGCGGACTATGATACACCAAGGTGGGCTGCCGGAGTGGCTGAGGGGGGACTCGAGCTTGTTCCCCACCTGGAGCTCAGGAGAGGAGAACGGGCTTTTCCATGCTGTTCAGATTACTGTGTTCTGGTCCCTACATAAAGATTAGCTGCTTGAATTACCCGGCTTCTCCTGTGAGATCCTCATTCTTCGTTCCAGTGGCCCCGAAAAGCTCAGTATTGGGCACCATGCAGCCTCCTCTGCCCCGAGACTCTCCCCCAGATCAAGCCGGGACCGGTCTCCTTGGTTCTGTTTACCCTTTAAAAAATACTTTTACAAACAATTCTTTCCCACCCAGCCCCCAAAGACCCCAATAAAATAACATGGGAGTAGCAGCTGCTTCTACAGTTTTGTTTTGAAATGGTGTTAGATAAAATAAGGGAATAAATAGAGAATGGGTACGAGGCAGGCCCGCCATCCCTGGGTCACACTGCCAGAGGGAGTTCTAGGGAAGACTCTTCGGGGGGCCTGTCCTCGCTCTGCTGTGAGGTCTTCTCCGCCACACAGCCCTCTTCATGGTCCGTGCGGAAGGGGAGGCCCGAGGGGGGCCAGGAGGGGCGGAGGTCTTCACTCTCAGGCTCCTCGGGGTCACAATCTTCGGGCACTAGCGCCTCTAGGGCGGACGCGTTCCCCACTTCTGATTTACACAGGGCAGCGGGGTCTGTGGGGCCGCAAGCCACCAGTGAGGTAACCGGGAGAGAGAAGACACTCAGATCCTTCTCCTTGGGGAAGGAGGCCGGGACTTCTTCCGGGCCGGGCTCTCCCTTCAGCCCCAGGACCGGCCTCTGCTCCACCTGGTAGTAGACCAGGGGCCCACTGTTCAAGTAGGAGGGGCTGTTCACCGCCGAGGCAGCCGCGGGGTCGGAGTTCTCGGCAAAGCACAGGACGGAGGAGCCCGGGGGCAGCTGGGCCTGGATGAGGATGGGGGCTGCGAGGCCCGGGCACAGCTCTTCGGGCACAGCCAGGGGCTCCTCCAGGATGCACACGCCCAGGCTCTCGATGCTGGAGTCCAGGCTGGCGCTGGAGCCGCTGGAATCCTCCTCCGCCTTGAGCCGCTCCAGCTCCTCCGCGCTCTGCAGGTGCATCACCGCGGTCTCGTTCTCGGCAATGAACTCCTGGAAGTCCTGCGTCTCGGAGCCCTGCGCCCCGGGCAGGCTGCAGCCGGCGGCGGGCGACGGCTCCTCGTCTGGGGCTGGCGGGCGGCTCACCTGCCGCTTGCTCTCCAGCTCCAGCTTCATGATGGTGTGGAGGTAATGAGTCCGGACCCGGATTGGATTGAATTCAATGCGCCCAGCCATGTTCCCACAGCCATCCCGGGAACAGCCACATGGGAAGGACATGCGATCCACCTGAGGAGAGGACAAGAAGGTTGAGGGAGGAGGAGGAGGAGACCCACAGAAGACCCACAGATTTAATGACGGGGACGGGAGGCAGTGGCTGGGGATTCGAGGTCTTACAACAGGAACAGCCAGGACAAACGTAACCTGCAGACCAGCTGCGTTTCAGTTCCAACACAGCCGCTAATGAGCGGTGTGCCCTCTAGAAGGGCCCTTACCTCCCGGGCAACCTGGGGGGCCCAGTCAGTTAAGCATCCAACTCGCTTTAGGCTCGGGCCATGATCTCAGGGTCGTGGAATCGAGCCCTGCATCGGGCTCTGCGCCCCGCACGGTCTTCTTGTCCCGCTCCCTCCCCCTCTGCCTCTCCCCCTGCCTGTGCTCGCTCTCTAATAAAGACAATCTTTAAAAGAAGAGAAAAGAAGAAGGTCCTTTATCTCTCCAGGGCTTTGTTTCCTCTTCCAGACAAAATGTAGCTAAAAATCACATCAAAGGGCCTTTCCAGTTAGAAAGTCCAGAGACGCTGCTCTGAAAGCTGACGGTTCTCAGAGAAGACATTTTTTTAAATATTTTATTTATTTATTTATTCATGAGAGAGAGAGAGAGAGAGAGAGGCAGAGACACAGGCAGAGGAGGAAGCGGGCTCCATGCAGGGAGCCCGACGTGGGACTCGATCCCAGGTCTCCAGGATCACGCCCTGGGCCAAAGGCAGGCAAACCGCTGAGCCACCCAGGGATCCCTTGAAGACATTTTTGCGCCTCAGAGACCTTCCCAGAATTTACCTAGTTTACTGAGAAAACAGGCTGGGGCCTAAGTCTACGGACTGCCTTCTGCGATGACAGGGAAAGGAAGCAGAAGATCTAGCTGGTCTAAAGGAGCACATTCTAGGGAAACTAAGGCAAAGTGCCTCAGTTGTGCCGGGGTGCTCTACTGATGGTTCAAACATGGTAACGGCCAGCTTTTCACAACCTGCTTCATTTTCCCCTGATGGTTTAGGTCTGGGGCAAGTACTGCAATAATTAACCTACAGACCAGGAACACCTGGAAAGGAGCTCCTCTACCTCCTTATCTCCCTTTTGGACCCCCAAAAGGAACCAAAAATAAAGCGTAAGCAAATATGTGTATATATATATATATATATATATATATATATATATATATATATGTATATATATAAGTCACAATGTCTTCCTATGATATCAACTTCTAGAACTCTCCATTCCAGTCCTTAGGAACAGTCCAATTCTTAGGACTACTCTCAGGACAGTATAACTGATTCATTATGGGACTTTGGTCTGAAAAGCAGTACTTGGCCAGATACGCTACAGCTATTACCGACCTAAAAATAGGAAAGAAGAGGGTCATTAGGGAACCTTCAACCACAAGGACTCAGCACCCACATCCTCAGTATACAAGTTCCAAATAAATTTCATCTTTTGGGATGGTACTGCTGCTTTCAACGGAGATGAGCCTTCTAAGCGGTCCCTTGTCAAACCAGCGAGCGGATGACGGCTTCTGTCTTTTAAGACCCTGGACTCCAGCTCTGCCAAGCCGCGTCCGATCCTGAACTACAGGAACCTGACAATTATTTTGGGTTTTACAGAACTGGAGCAGAGGTCCTGTGAGTGTTTGCAAGACAAAATCCGGAGGCCTACCTCATCTCTCTGCTTCCTTTCATCTCATGACATCAGTCCATGTTTAAGGAACAGCTACTAATGTTAAACTCACCAACCCGTCTTCCCCCATCTGCTGACAGCTGCTGCTTACCACTTCCAGGATGAGACACAGCAAAAGCTAATGGCTCTCTCCATGGCCTAGGAATCCTGCCATGCTTGGCTTTCTCCTTGGTGGGGGAGGGTCGTGGAACTAGGCAGTGCTGCCCGTCATGGGAGTCCACCCGTGGATGACAGGCAGCCTCCCACGTTCACCAGGACCCACATCATGCCCCCTGACTCCTCTAGTGTGGATATCACCTCCCAGGCCAACCTGGACTGACCTGGCATTTAATCCCAGCCTGACTACAGGCACAGGCTTCTGGGTCACAATAGAGGCGACAGTCACAACCACACTCTTCCCGAGACAGGCGGATGGCTCTAAGCTCTTGCTTCTCTTCGGCGTCAATGCGGTGGACCCCTGAAGCCCTCAGCAAAGCTCGTCGCCGCTTGGTAGGCAGGGGCTGCAGGAAGAAGTAGTCATCCACCTCCACATTTTCCACATCAATGTCTTCGTCTGAGACGTCATCCAGGGTCAGGCCATCGGCCTCCACCGACTCCACTGTCCCATTCTTGGTCAGCTGCCGGGAGACGGGAAGGAAAGGTTAGCCTCGAGTATTATGGGCAGGCACCTTTTTTTTTTTTTCTAAAGATTTATTTATTTATTTATGATAGACATAGAGAGAGAGAGGCAGAGACACAGGAGGAGGGAGAAGCAGGCTCCATGCCAGGAGCCCGACGCGGGACTTGATCCCGGGACTCCAGGATCGCACCCGGGGCCGAAGGCAGGCGCTAAAGCCACCCAGGGATCCCCGGGCAGGCACCTTCTCACAGAGCAGCAGGGTCCAACTGAACTTCCTGCACTGATGGAAATATCCGTGCTGCGAGCAGCACACGTGCCTACTGAGCACTGTGAATGTGGCTGGTGCGAAGGAGAACTTAATTTTAGTTCATTTTAACTAAGTCTAAGAAGCCGCACGTGTGGCTAGTTGCCACCATACTGGAGAGTTGAAGAGCATAAATCTAGAGCAGGAAGGCAGGAAGCCCAACGTAGCTCTAACACCTGTCAACACAGGAGGGATCACCTTTCTAGACCAAAGTTTCTCAAAGCCTGTGTCTCCTCTTCCCTCATTTTCCCACAAATACACCCTCCATCCTCAAACTTGTGTCCTGTAACGTCAGCTAAGTTGCCTTCTGACACAGGGAGGTCTGTCAGCGGCTGGATGCTCCTTGTATGTATAGATAACCTTGCAAAACACCCTTCAATCTGCACCCCGAAGGACCCAAAACCACATTCGGGGAACGGTAGTACAGGCTACCAGGTCTTTGTCAAGGACCCTGAGTCCCCACAGAGTGAAGACTTCTCTGCACACACAGAAGGGCTTCACTTCGCTGGGAGGAGAAAAAAATGAGCAAATTATTAACAGCTATCCAAGAAAGCCCTCACTGCCAACCCACAGCCTAGAATACACTTTCTCCTTTCTAATCTTTTTTGATTTCAAAGAAGAATGCCGTATGGGGAGTAGGGTGGCATGCGAAATACTGAGGTACTATCCACGGGCAGAAGTCTGGGTTCTCTGGGCCAAGACAGAGAGCCAGGCAAGGAGTCTTCGTGGAAGGGCAGGTTGAAGACAATCTGGCTGAATGAGTTCTGAAAACTCACTAGAGAATTCAAGGAAAGAAAATGAGACTTTGTAATTCCCAGAGGTCTGGAAGCTACCAGCAGGATGAGAGCCAAGCTCCTGGAGGGGTTGGCTTATTTCATCAGACCCAGCCACAGGTTAGTGCTAGTAAAGGGACAGCTCCTGGGAGCGAGATGATGCAACGGCGGGGCTCATCAGCTCCACACCTGTTTGTTTGTGGGAAGGTGGGAGAGAGAGGGGACAAATACAGAGGTGCTTCTGGGGGTTTCCTGGCCTGTTAGTTCGGTACCAGGCAGACCCGCGATGAGGGGCCCTTCTGCAGACCTTGGGGCCCCTCCTCCTTCCTATTTTGCCAGCAATGGCTTCTTCCTTAGCACGCTCCCTCCTGCTGTCCTCTCAAGGGAAAGAGGTTAGAGATGCAATAGGAAGAAACCCACGTAGATATAAGAATTTGATGTAACACAGTAGAGGTGGCATTTGAAACCAAGAAAGAGAGTCCTCTGGTCATTAGATGATATTGGGATAACTGGATGGGCTTTTTGAAAAATAAATAAATAAAGCTGTACTAGTAAAGCATACTACCCATAATAATGAATTCCATATGAATAAAAGGCCCAAATTAGAAAAAAGTAATAATGAGGGGCGCCTGGGTGGCTCAGTGGTTGAGTCGCCTTCGGCTCAGGGTGTGATCCTGGGTCCTGGGATCGAGTCCCACATCGGGCTCCCCCCAGGGAGCCTGCTTCTCCCTCTGCCTGTGTCTCTGCCTCTCTCTGTGCCTCTCACGAATAAATAATATCTTAAAAAAAAAAGTATTAGAAAAATGATAGGTAATTGAAGCTCAGAGCATCAGGAGGTTTTTTTTTTTCCTTTTGTGACAGCCTGAAAAGGAAAATAAATATTAGATGGTACATCAGAGATGCGAAAGATGTATTTTTTAAGTCTCCCCTGCAGTGTACTGCAGTCAGGAAAAATTTCTAAGAAAAGCAAGCGCATTGGCCCTGGGAGAGGGCAAAGGAAGCGTCGTCTCTCGACACGGAAGGATCTATTAGTTGCCACCAGGGCTGCCGTTCGCTAAATCAGCTACTAGGTAGGAATCCTAGGTAGGGATCCTGTGTCGGCCTTGGGTTTGCTTAGCTTTGTCCCTAGACCTGCTCCCGGTGGGGGGGCACAGAACAGGAGGGAGTCGTGCTGTGACAGGCTATCCCTCTATCAGATCTAGGAGAGAGGTTTCTTTAGGGGAAGGGAAGAAAGCCTTCACTGCAAATGATGAGAACAGTGTTTATTTCCCGGGCCGTTGCTATAGCAGCAGGAAGGTGACAGGGTCAGTGATGGAATTCCTCAGACACAAGAAACGGGACGCCTCGGTGTCATTCCAGTTAGAAAAACAGGTGTGAGGCTCCGGGAGTAGGCTGCGGGAAGGGGAGCGCGCTGTCAAAAGGAGAAAGGAATGAGATGTCGTTAGCTCACGTCCTCTGCTGTGGGTTCTCCAACCACACCATGTTTTGGGGTGGCTCGTTCGGGTCTCATCTGCCACCCTGCAAATAATGCAGCCACCTGTTTTAATATGGGTCACATGTTTGGGGCCCACAAGAAACTTGGCTAGACCTACAGCAGTGTCTCCAGACCTGGAGCCGGGAACTCGTGGGGGGGCGGGGGGGATTTTGTGGCCTGATGCGAAGTATGGCTGTGGAGTGCTGCGTGGTGCCGAGAGCAAGCGGGTAGCTGTAAAGAGCCATCCTGTAAGGCAGGGGTCATCCTCCAGCCTCACTGTCGCCTCCTAAACTTGAGGAGCTGGGGTGGCATCAGATGGCAGGCCTAGAACCAGACAAACTGAAACAGCTATTTGGCGATGCTGTGGTTTACACCTCAAAGACCATCACCTAGAGGTGACGGGGGTTACAGACAGGGGGGCTACATGTGCAGGGTCTAGCAGAGAGAACCTGTTGGTTTGTTTTAAAGATTTTATTCATTTAGAGAGACTGAGCGAGCGAGCTAGTGAGAGAGAACGAGCAGAGGAAGAGGGAGAGCAGGCTCCCCACTAAGCAGGGGGCTCAACACGGGGCATGCTCCCGACCTGAGCCACAGGCAGATGCTTCACCCCCTAAGCACCCCCCAGGCGCCTGAGAAAACCTGTTCTGTGCATTGGGACAATAGACAGTCATTTAACAAGAAACTGAAACCTCATGCTTCCTCAGGTTCCAAGGGTGACAGACTTGAATGTTTTCAGGTATTCGCATCTTAAACTTTAAAAAAATTTGCTGAAGGGGTGAGGTTAGGGAATTCTAGGGAAGCCACTTTGCTCTCCTGCGTAGACTCCCCACCAGAGACAAAAAAGAATGGGGTTTCAGACTGAGCTTTGATTCCAGACCTGAGACTTCTCACTAGAAAGATCGGGAATCTCAACATGCCAAGGGCAATAATCAAATTACAAGGAAGAAATAAATAATCCAGAAGAAATATAAATAATCTAGATGGTTCCCCACTTTATCTTGGCGCATGGGTGTACCCAGACCCCAGACCCCTTAGGCACCTTCATCTTCTTGGCGTGGAGTTTCTCTTCCTTCAGGTGTTCACGGAGAATCTCCCGATGGTTCACCTCCTGCTCCTGAGCAAACTCACAGAGTGTGTAGCTGCGTACGGAGTTGTGACGCTGGGCCATGCCCAGCGAGCTCCCACCCTGGCTGGGCACGCTGGTGAAGCCCTGGCGCCGGGCGAAGTAGTACACGGTCACCTGGTCAAAGCGGACATTCTTCCTCCGCAGCTGCTTCTGCCGCTTGAGGATGGATGTGGCTGAGAAGGGAGCACAGAGCGGTTTTACCAACCCTGAAACGGCCTCCCTGGGGCCCACGTTCTTTCTCACCCATCTAGGCTCAACCGTTGTCCAAAGCGCTCTCTGTACCTTGAGACATGTCCAGTCTTCACATCATAAGCGCACAGTTGGGAGGGGCCCTGAACATCAGCTGGCTCATACCACTCCCGCCACACTGACTTCACCCAAACAGATGACCACAAAATCTAATTTTGGACATCAGCTGGGAAGCGGATCTCTAGGTAATCTTTTCAGGATGTAACCATCTCTATAGCTTCTCTGTCCGATTCAACCACTATTAGCCACGTGTGGCACTTTACGTTACTCAAAATAAAATTTCAAATTCAGCTCCTTGGTTCTACTAGTCACGTTTCCAGTCTCCTGGCTACATATGGCTCCCATACTGGACAGTGCAGGTGTAGAAGAACTCCGCTATCATAACGGGGACCTCTGTGGGACGGCTGGGGTTGGTGTATAGCTGGGGTTGGTGTATCTCTTCTTTAAACAGCCTGACGGTGAATACTTCAGTCTCTGCAGGCCATCAGGTCTCTGCCACAACCACTCAACCCTGCCATTGTAGCATGAGAGCAATTCCAATGTATGTGGCTGTGTGCCAATAAAACTTTATTTACAAAAACGGGCAGTGGGCCAGATTTGGTCCGTAGGCAACCTCTGTTCTATAGAATCAGAAGTTCTTTCCAAGAAATTAACTGAGCCATTAGAATTAAGAAATCTGGAGTTGCCCCAGTTGACCAGGCAGTAATCACTTATGTCCTTCTAGATCTACAATTGTGTGGGACTCTGGTGGGTCAGGGTAAAATCCTGGACCTCTCCTCCCTCAATTTAATTAAGCCCTTCCTGGGGAGCCATAAACCATGGCATAAAAAAAGGAAAAAAATCAGCTAGAGTAGGTCAGGCCTAAGTCTATGATACGAGAGCAATAAAGTCCTCCAAAGAGCAAAGTTGGGCTAAGAGTGGAAAAGATCATGGTTAGCGGAAAATCCCCCAGCTGGAGACAAGGAGCGGTCTCTTTCTCAAGGACTGCAATGGGCTCTGATGCCTGGAGGATGTGGGTGTAAACGGGGTGGTGGGGCTCACTCACGTGTGAAGCTGGCGGTTGTAGGAGGATTGAGGCTGTCACAGCTGTCAGCACTGTCACTGCTGGAGATCTCATCGTCTGAGTTGGAAACTGATGAGCCCACATCCACATCATCAAACTTCCTCTTGAGACTCGAACCCGTGAATGCATCCATTGGTTTCAAAGGGGCTTCCTTGGGGAGCCCACCACGTTGGCCCCAAAGCCCCTGCTCACCACCAGTTAGCCAGGTGCATTAGGATTCTGCCCAGGGGAAAAGAGGAATCAGCATTCCCGTCCTGAGCCAGACCCCTCCCAAGTCTATACACGCAGCTCTCCAAGTGAAGAAAGTCCCTGAGCTAGCACTGAGGTCTGGTCTCTCGAGACTAGGTCATTTCTTTACTTATCCTGGCCAATATTCTCCTACTTTTGTTTCCCTTCAGCCCCTGCGGTCTCAGTCATTCGTAGAATAATGAGATGAGTAACAGCAGCACCTTTCCGAATAGAGTGGAGGCCTCTGGTTCCAAGCCAGCTGGGCTCTGGGTTTCATTAGCCCGGGGAATAACGGGAATAACGGTAGCTGCTACGGTGCGCACACAGGAGCGCTCTCCAAGGGGCCAGTGGGAGGGACTAGGGATCAAAGGCAGAATTAGGCTGTGCCTAAACCTAGACTAGATCCAATTATTTTTCCTTTTTTTTTTTTAAATTTATTTACGATAGTCACGGGGGGCGGGGGCAGAGACTAGGCAGAGGGAGAAGCAGGCTCCATGCACCTGGAGCCCGACGTGGGATTTGATCCCGGGTCTCCAGGATCGCGCCCTGAGCCAAAGGCAGGCGCTAAACCGCTGCGCCACCCAGGGATCCCCCAATTATTTTTCCTAGTGAAAATTTAGCCTGGCTTTTCCCAAAGTATATATATTAAATAAACTAGTTCCATGGATATTAATAGCTTTACATGGCAATAGGACTGGTGTGTCCAAATAGTTTAGACAGATGCTTAGGAGAGGACTGCATGGAGGCTTTTAATATACTAATGAGCATGGTGAAGGGTGAGAGCAAACATAGTGCACACAGGGGTCCCCACATCTCCTTATGGAACCCTGTGTTTCCAGAGTATCTTGGGGGCAAGTGATTCTTGGAATGCACTTTGGGAATTAATACGCTCTAGGCCCTAAGTTTCAGAGTATATCAGAAGCCAGGGAGACACTTTACCCAGATCTTCACAAGGGTGAAGTTTCTCACCAGGCTCCCAGAAAGGTCAAATTTGGTTCTAAAGAATGGACTGAAGATTAGAATCTGCACTGCCTTCAGAGCCCAGAATCTTCTCCAATCTCATTCAGCTCCATAAAATAGGGCTCAGCTGGTCTATCCTCATCCCCTGTGCCAGAACAACTTAGCTTTACAATCTTAGCCCTCTGTAAAGAACCCGGCAAGGGGAAATCAAATGGCAAAAGAAGGGACAATTGACTATGGTTACGTCAATATGGCAGGCAGCATTTGCAACATGTCACACACACAGAGTCTGGGATAGTCCATTTCCCAGGTACACATCTTTCTCCTTCTCCATCTTTGGACTTAAGTTCCTAAGAATATGAATCTGCTGGACAGAAATGCTGTTAGAGCTGGAGCCACATGTGATGATACGAAGCCTCCCTGCTTTGCCTCAGTAACGCCAGAAATCTCCCCAGACTATGATCTCACTAGTTGCTAATTATGCAGCAGGAATAACAACACTGCCCAGAAAGACAGGGCTGCATTACTGCGGAGCAGCTACCCAGAATATACTGTGGTGTCAAGAGATGCCTGCTACAGAGCTGTTTTTCTGGACTGTGTCTCTCGGAAGCAATTTGCCTGCTCTTGGATCAGCTCTACATAGTCAACCAGACCTAATAAGTACTTTAGCGAAGATATTTCCTGATCTGTCTAGATCTCATCAAAATTCTGCATTTGAGTAACAAGATATACCTAAGAAACCTCAGCCATCACAGGTCTCAGACAAGCACGTTCCTGAAATAAATTTGGCCAGGGACGGGGGGAAAAGAAAATCAAGTACTTGTTAAGAATTGTAATGAAATTTAAAAACAAACCTAAGGTGTCAATTCTGTTCTTCAGGTTACTGATCTTACCATTAGAGATCACATTCCTAGGATATATTAAGAACGGAGAGAGCCAGGGACCTTTTAATGGGTTAAGATTTGAGCTGGGTTTAAAGATACCTATTAACTAACAAATTTTGCATTCCATCCTGTGGGGGTGGGGGTGGGGGTGGGGGTGGAGGTAATCTTTACAATGGAGAGCTTATGTGAGTGGGATAAAAAAAAAATAAAAGAGAATAATGTTGACCACTGAATTGAATTTTTCCTCCCCACTTAAAAGCTTTATCAACCACATGAAAACTCAGACTGAGCTGAAAAATCTGCTTTCTCAGAAAGGGCTTAAGTCCAGCTTCAGCTTTAACTGAGATCTCTAGTGTTGCTACTGGGAAAGTAGCTTCTTCCTCAGTCTGGAAGCATGCAGGGTGTCATGACTGGAAGCAAATGTGCAGTCCTGTTCTTTCCTCCAACGTCCCTTTGCTTCCAGTAGGGTGGCTTCCCTCTAAGTATTTCTCTGTAAGCCCTGCATGAGGCTGGGTTTGGTCCAAAACCATCTTTATTATTAAAATTCTCACTGTCTTAACCCAGTTGCCCTCAGGGGTATCACTTCCTCTGGTGCGGCAAGGGTTGCTGGCTGCTTGTTCCATTCTCCTTTGCCCTTTTTTCTATGTCTTCCCCACTTCCAATCCTGGAATAGTGGCTTCTGGGCAATGATAAGAGGTAGGTAAGAAAGAGGAAGAAAAAAAAAAAGAGAGAGAGACAGAAAGAAATAAAAGATGTGAAACCTAGGAGAAAGATATTTTCCTTAAAATGCCGGAGAATAATCTGAACCCATGGCTACATATGTAAATGATGTGTGTACTGACTTGGCTCTCCTCACCCTGGCCAGGATCCATCTGATTCGCTTTCTGACATGCACCCCATTATATATAATCCATCAATGCTGTCCTGACCACAGTATAAGTTTCAATTTCAACCCAGCCTTCCTTGTCCAACTCTGGTGTGAACCTGACTCGTCAGGAAGAGATGCTCATTGGGCACCAAAAACAAACCTCCCATCCACTTCCACAGTGGCCTGAAGAGATCTTTCTTTGCAACCGAAACAACTAGAATAGGTCCCACAATTTCCAGCTCATCCAATCAACCTTTCTAACTGATTAGAAATCAGTCATTCCCACCTCTCTCAACCATTCACTGGTAGAGAATCAATGCCTGTGTTCAAGAGAAACAGTTGTGAGTTATACCCTTAAACCGAACAGAACCCTTAAACCCATACAGAAATCATGAAGGTGAGACTGGAAATGCAGGTCCTAAGTGACAGTTAACTGCCAAAATGACCAACTCAAACAACAAATGCTTTTGGAGAAAAGAATGCGAGCCCCTATAAAAGCTTTTTAATGCCAGTTAAATGAAAGGGCAGCTGACACTTTCTGGCTCCCTGCCTTATGGCCTTTTCTCAACTGTTTCTAGCTGAGTATTTCCCAAAGGTATAAGAAATACAGCATATCCACGGTAAACAAGAGATACGCGGCTAGCGCCAAATAAAGATCTATAGTATATGTGCACTTTAGTACTGGATCTAAGCCTTTTCAGTCCTGTAGGATTCCTTTAACAATCTGTCCAAAAAAAAAACAACAACCAAAACCCCCCCAGCTTTTGTGAGGCTAGCAAAAGAGGGATCACCCAGAAAAATTTCTGTGGATTCAAAATATATTTCCAAAGTTTAGTAACGAAGGCCTCTCTCTTAAAGGAGTATAAAATACTAATTAAGACAAGGTATATCTCACAGGAGAAAGCCTCTCCAGGCCACTGGAATCCAACCTTCTTGGAAAGGTCAAGGGACCAAAATCTCCGGTAAGATTGTCAGGGTTATCTTCGGTAGCTGGGTTAGAGGAAGGAAGGCTTGTTGCTAAGTGTTAGGATAAACCTGAGTAAGATGACCTGACCTGTTTCTCCTTTTACAAGATATTGCAGTTGATTCTCATATACCATGAATTTCATGGATCCATGTGTCCTTGGGATTACCAGGATCATGAACTCATAAAGTGCTTGAGTGTAAACATACTGTTTGGGTATTTTAAGGAAGCCCTCCCTTCTAACCCTCACTGTTTTGTTTGTTTGTTTGTTTGTTTGTTTGGCCCATTCACTGACACAAGGTTAAAACTTGGCTTTCCACGTCTAAACTACCATGGTATGGAGGACACAAGATCTTGGTGGGAGACCAGGAACATGATGCTGCAGGAACCATTAATTCTCAAGGATATCCAGTCACTTCTAACTCTGGCGCACACCAACCTCCTCCTGGCTTTGGAGATTAGCAAGATGTGAAGTCCGTAAAGAAAATGAAAATATGAACCAACCACGGGTTTACCTGAAACTGAAAACGGCAGGACAAGAGGACACACTGTGTCTCTCGGGGATAACTCCTAAACATTTCGCACTGGAGGGCGGTCTGTGTGTGTCACACTGCCACTCTAACCCCTTTAGAAGGATAAATCAAGACCATGGCACTCAAAGGGATGGATGGCAGTCGGCTGCGTGTTTGGGCCTATGAAAAATGATCGAGCTGGGAGCCAGGGCAAGGGATGCTTTCGTCCCCCCCCCCACACACACACACACACAACGCCAAAAAAAAGAAAAGAAAAAATGGGAGAGACGTGAGGAACCTGAGCCGAAAGGACAGGTCAAGGCATCGGTTCCCTTTAATGGGCACCCCTGCTGAGCCCTTGGGCTCCCGGCCCATTTCTCCGATGCCCGCTAACCTTCCCGCTCATTCCCAGCGTCTGCGGCCCCTGCCCAGCCTTCCCCATCCCTTCCTGCCTGCTACTCACAAATTCCCCACCACTCCTCCCACATTTTCCCCTCCTCGCCCTCCCCTTCCTTCACTTCCCTCCATCCTGCATCACCTCCACTCCGCTCCGCGCTCAACCCTCACCCGCAACCCCGCCGGCTCCCGAGCCGCCCCCGGGTCGTGCCCCGAGCTGCCCCCGCAGCCGGGGCCCGCGTCCTCCGCGCCCCGGGCTCCCACGCCTCTCCCGACTGCTTCCTTCCCCGCGGCGACCCGGCTCCCCGCCCCCCGGCCGCTCCCGAGCGAGCCTCCCCCGTTTCTGACCCCTCCAACCGCGCGGCCCTGGGGGGGCGGGGGGAACCTCTCCACAGCCGCCCGCGGGCCGATCCCGAGAAAGGACGAGGCGGCACCCTCCGCCCCGCACCCCCAGGCCCATTACCGGCCCCGCCGCGGCTGCCTCCTCCCGAGATGGTCTCTGCCGCCCCCGCGGCCGCCGCCGCCGCCGCCGCCGCCCCAGCCCGGGTGGGAAGCAGAGAGGACAGAGCGAGTCCCGGGCCCGCGGCGACGGTCGGGGAGTTCCCAGGGCGGCAGGGCTGGGAGGGAGGGCGGGTGGGCAGGTCGGCCGGCAGGCGGCGGAGGGCGGGCGGCTCCAGCGACTCGGGCGCCCCCGGTAGCAGACGCCCAGAACCGCCCCGGCTCCGGCTAACAATAGGCTCCGGCCGCAGCGCTCCGGCTCTTATAGGCGCCGGCACGTCCTGCCCGAGCCCCGGGGCAGGCTGGGAAATGGAGTCTGCGTGCCAACCCCCCCCCGCCCCCCCGCCCCCGCGGCATGCCGGGAGTTGGAGGCGGCGACCGGCGCCGAGCCCGAGAGCCGCCGCCTGCGGACGCGCTTCGGGGGCGAGGTCCTCGCTGCGCTGGAAGCTGGGAAAGCGAGTTTGGCGCCGCTGCAGCCCTTCGGGCCGGAAGGGGGACAGCCCGGGCCACAGACCTGCGGTGACTGAACGAGGCTGCCCCCGACGCTCCCCCGTTCCTCTCGTCAGGAGCGCACTCCCGTGCGTAAAGGCCGTAACCGCCTCAGGCTCGCCCCTGGGAGCCGAGGCGGCCGCCCGGGAACGGCGGCGGGCAGGGCGCGCGCCTCGCCGCAGCGCGTGTGGACCGGCGGATGGCTTCCTGTCAGAACCGACCTTCCGCGGTGTCCGAGCCTCACCACTTTGCGACTCATTTTTAAGGTGTGGAAAACGGCGTCTGATGCGGAGGCCGGGAGTTCTGCGTCGTTTGCCAAGGAGCCCCAGCCCAGGTCTCCTCTTCGACGCGTAAGGCCCCGCACTGTGGTAGGTGCCCCAGGTGCCCCTCCCTCCCCTCCCCCACCACGGCTCCGTGCTTCCCTCTACTTTGCCCCTCCTGGACGAGATTTTACTCATTTATTCACGAGAGACACACACGCACGGAGAGAGGGAGAGGCAGGCTCCACGCAGGGAGCCCGACGCGGGACGCGACCCCGGGTCTCCAGGGTCACGCCCCGGGCCCAAGGCGGCGCCACACGGCTGAGCCCCCCGGGGAGCCCCGGTACTGTTTGCACTACGTTGGCCCACTAGCCTCCTTGCACTTCCTTCAGGGATGGCGCTCTCCCCCCAGGGCCTTTTGCCTACCACACGGTCCCTAGCAGGCCAGGTAACACACACGCCTTCACTTAACTAGTTGCTGAAATGTCCCCATATCAGATTTTCCTTTAACCATTTTTCTGAAATGGCGCTTACATCTCTTCTTAGCATTTACCACTTGATGTATATTTTTTCAGTCCTCTCACAATTGACTAAATTCCAGGAGTCCTACGAATTGCTTTGTTTATTGTATGGTGAGCAGCACCCCGTACAAAGCCTGGTATTTGACATTTAGGAACTCACTAGATGTTTACTGGGTATTTATTGGTTGGATGGCAGGACTTAAACTCACGTTAGGATGGTTCCATAGCCTAGTGCACTTTTCACTGCAACCAAGAACTATGGAGCCAGATCTGCTGGCTATCCAAGGCATCTCTCAGCTTTATTTTATTTTATTTTTAAGTTATTCATGAGAGACACACAGAGAGAGGCAGAGACACAGGCAGAGAGAGAAGCAAGCTCCATATAAGGAGCCGGATGCGGGATGCGGGATGCGGGACTCCATGCCGGGACATCCGGGATCACACCCTAAGCCAAAGGCAGATGCTCAACCGCTGAGCCACCCAGGCGTCCCATCTCTCAATTTTAATACTAAGAACTGGCTTGGGACAAAATGCCCCAAATCGCAGTCCTCCCGCCTCGGTGACATGAGAGGCTCCATGAGGCCAGGAAACAACAGTGCAAGATGAAAAAGCAGATCACAAAAAAGCAGGCCTTAGCTTACCACGCACTGATCATCTCCCTATCTGCTGAGATTTAGGTATAACACGTGTTCTGGAGCCAGACTGCCTGAATACAAACCCACTCCTCCTCCATCAGTAGTAGTATGACCCTTGGCAAGGTATGTAACTTCCCTGTAACTTAGCTTCCTCATCTGCAAAATGAGGAAGACAGTATGGAGCTCAAAGGGGTTCGCGAAGTTTACTTAATATGGTATAAAATGTTCACAATATAGTCAGTGCTATGTAAATTTTCATGATTGTCTTTCCCGGACACACAGATCATAACAGCTCCAGGCTACTCTGTAGAATCAGTGAGCGGAGTTATCAAATACTAGCCAAAAGGTCACACTGGATAGGTTAAAAAAGCATCTCATATGCCCACACATTCACAGTTTGAGTCATGGAAATTCATCAGGGTACCATTAGCCTCAACGCCCATGATTTGTAGGTTAATGACACCAGGATAGCCAAACCGAAGTTAGTGCATCACTTGAAAACAAGCAGAATCCAATTTGGCAGTAAGCTCTACATCAGTCGGCAGCTCACCTGGACCTGTAACGTCACAACTACAGATCATAGAGCCACTTGTTCACCATGTTTCATGGTCTTGGTAGAATCACTAGATGAGTTACTACAATGGTGCCTCTGCCTCCTGCCTTAGCAGGGCCTATAGAGGCCAAGTGACCAGAAGCTCAAATGCAGAATAGAAACTACAAAACCAAAGTGAAAAGAAATGCTAATAGCGTTTGATCTGCCCAATACTAAATGTTACTGCTGTGTTCCAAATCACCTGCAACGTACATATGAACCAGCTCAGAATGCACAAATCACGAATGGGTGGTTTGTTTTTGGGACAAAAATGTCAAAGCAGAACAGGAAGAGATATAGAACCAAGATCATCAGCCACAGATGAAAACCAAAGGTCAGATTTCATGTCCTGGGCAGTGTTTACAAATCTGTCTTGTAGTTATGCCTCTACACATAGAGGTGATTTTGTAATCAGTAGTATTCTAAGTTTATTGAGCAATTGGATTAAGAGTACTAAATACAAAAGAAAACTGTTCTATGCTCAATATTCTTTTAAATCTCCCAAACAATCCTATGAATTAAGTATTATCTCCTTTTTAAGATGAGAAAGTTGAGGTTTAGGAGAATATTTTGTTCAAGGTCACATCCAGGAAGAGCAAGATCTGAGATTTGAACAGAGGTTTATCTGACACCAAAGTATATATTGTATCAACTATTCTTTACCACCAAAACAAGAACACACTCCCTGGAGGGGAGGGCAGGGGAGTTGGAAATTAATAGGTCAGAGGATACTATGTGTAAGCTGCTGCTGCTGCTTCTTTTTTTTTTTTTTTTTAAAGATTTTATCTATTTATTCATGAAAGAGACACACAGAGAGAGGCAGAGACACAGGCAGAGGGAGAAGCAGGCTCCATGCAGGGATCCCGGGACCGGGATCATGCCCTGAGCCGAAGGCAGACACTCAACTGTTGAGCCACCCAGGCGTCCCCTGTGTGTAAACTTCTTAGAGAAAAATAGTTAACCTGTAGATTTAGCCCTGAGGTTGACATTACCTTACTAATTTATATTTAACAATAATCCAGATCTAGAGAGGCAGGCACCTTCCGTGACTAGTTGCACAACAAAAAGATCAGTATCAGGACTTAAAAGTGCCACAGCAATTTAAAAGCACAAACAACAAAGAAGCTACATGCTTCAGGAAGATTTCAAAAAGGACACACACAAATTGATTAATATAGGTGGAGAACACACACTCTACTTAAAAAAGCAAAATAACAACTAAGTTTAAGGAGGTAGAGTGCAGGGGGTGAGTTTAGTGAGGGCAAGCTTGATAAGCCTAAAAGAAGTGGATGAAAATTTGAAGTTATAAAGATATGTAGGGAAAGATAAATTAAAAAATCAGACATTAGGGGATCCCTGGGTGGCTCAGCAGTTTGGCGCGATCCTGGAGTCCTGGGATCCAGTCCCGCGTCGGGCTCCCAGCATGGAGCCTGCTTCTCCCTCTGCCTGTGTCTCTCCCTGTGTGTGTGTGTGTCTATCATGAATAAATAAACAAATCTTTTTAAAAAAATGCTTTTCTTAAAAAAAAAATCAGTTCAGAGAGAAAACAGGAATCTGAAGTAATTAAAATGAGGAATGTTTACCTCATCTTAATACAAATATATGAAAACACAGATTCCATGAGAAATACTGGTTAGTACTCATGCCCCCAAAAAGCCCATACAGTACAAAATAGTATAATAATATAAACACAATGTTTTTTAAATAGCAAGTTTCCTTATAATTTATATTAATGCAACTGAAAATTTTAATTCATTGAGACCTTTTAAATATCTGAATTAGAGAATGCAAATGCTAGACTTAGGTACAATTTGTTGGCTAGGCCTGTGTTCTCAGGAACAACACAGAGGAGATGTAGAAGTGAAAAGGAGAGATGAAAAAGGAAGAAGTGGAAAGAGATGGATGTTTAAGGTCAAAGGTAACATACAAGGTCATTAAATGAAGCAAGAAGGAGAAATAAAATATTCACAATACAGAAAAATAAAAAACAGATGCTGGTGTCACAGGGCATCTTCTTTCCAGTTCATTCCATTTTGTAGTGGTAGAAAATTCTTCCTCATTTACACCTTAGAACCTGTATAATGAAACAAAAATTTAATCGCAAAACTAAAAATAAATGTTCTAGCTTTAGGGAAAGCCTTAGCCTACAACTGAGAACATAGATCATTTCCAGGAGAAGCAGAATGGTGCAGGATACTCTGTATGAAATGGTACATAAATGATGCAGCTAGGTGGGGCGTTGGTAGCATTCCTGTTGAGATGGGAGTTCTTGTAACGGGCCAGTAGAGGCCACAAACAGATCAAATTCCTATAGAGGAGCCATCCATAGCCAAAGAAGCAGAAGGACAATTCAGTAAAATGATAAAACAGCCCAACTTCAGCTCTCTGAGGAAGTTATCTGGAATTGTTAGGTATTGGCTGGAGAAAAAACAACTACAGTGAAGAGGGATTAAGTTCAGTCTTGACCTCAAATATTTGCACCCCAAATTTGTGTTACTTTCAAAACCAAAAGCTGAACCTTCACTCAGTCCTTCGCAGTAGTTTACAAGACAGCCCGAATCTCTGCAGCACCCCTGTACAAGACTTGCTGAGAATACTTGGGGACAAAGGGTTTTCAGAACACTCCTCCATTAGGCATAAATTAGAAAGGACTAGTTCCATTTTACCAAGCCTTCTTCACTCGCCAAGCTTCCCAATGCTCCTTCAACCCAGTGGTGAAATCACACTCTACCCTTCACAGCACACCTAGTGCCTGACTGTGTCTGACACCCAGAAATAATCAAGAGTATCTGCCCCTTCGTGTGGACCTCACTCTCAGGTCTCTCAGGCTCTGGTTGTCTTGTATTTGTTGTACTGTACTCTTTCAGGCACTATGACCATTTCCATTTCCCCTCCCTTTAAGTAGCTTCCTGAATAAATCATTTATGGGGTAAACATTCTGACTAGGCCATAGTATTGGACAACCTTATTATTTAACAGCCATATTTATGTAACGACTAGTACCTAATCCTTGAAGTTCTGCAATGACCTACCCTCTCTTTTATTTCCCAATAACTCCCTTTTAACTATCAAGTCTTTAGACAGCTGATTCTTCTGGATACAATCCATCCCTTCAAGGGAACAGTACATACAATACTAAGTCGAATAGGAGCCTACTGCACTTCTTAGGAGGGCCTAAAACCTAACCGTTCTCCTTCTCAAATACCCTCACTCTAATAAAACCATTAAACCATCTGCACAGTTTAAATATCAACTGTCACATTGTTAAAAAGATAAAATCCAGTAAATTTTACTTCCAGGAATATATCTTAGAGGTACATGCAAAAAACTTATGAAGATGCACGTTCAAATGCACTTAACCTAAACATCATAGGGAATGGCCATCTTTAAAAAAGAATGATGTGGGATCCCTGGGTGGCGCAGCGGTTTGGTGCCTGCCTTTGGCCCAGGGCGCGATCCTGGAGACCCGGGATCGAATCCCACATCGGGCTCCCGGTGCATGGAGCCTGCTTCTCCCTCTGCCTATGTCTCTGCCTCTCTCTCTGTCTCTGTGACTATCATAAATAAAAAAAAAAAAAAAAAAAAAAAAAAAAAAAAATTAAAAAAGAATGATGTATACTATGAATTCTAATAATAGATGTTCAAGATATGTTAAATACAAAAAGCAAATTGCAGACCGTTAGTGTAACATGAGCCCATCTGAATATTTGGAGGGGGGCAAGGAGGGAGGTACTTTTAGCCATGATTATCTATCTATCTATCTATCTATCTATCTATCTATCTATCTATCTATCATCTATTTAAAAGATTTTATCTACTTATTCATGAGAGACATAGAGAGAGAGAAGCAGAGACACAGGCAGAGGGAGAAGCAGGCTCCATGCAGGGAGCCTGACGTGGAACTCGATCCTGGGACTCCAGGATCACATCCTGGGCTGAAGGCAGGCACCAAAACTGCTGAGCCACTCAGGCGTCCCACGATTATCTCTTTAGAGTGGGACTAGGAGGTAAGTAAGAAGGTAACCCTTCTTTATTGTTTGAATTTATCACTTTATGTATTATTTTCATAATAAAAAAGCTAGTTTAAAATTTTCATTTAATTGAAAGGATCAGTAATAGTAAATAGATGTGACTCTTAAAAGCAAGTTGAATAGCAACATTCTATCAATATACCAACTCTTACTAATTGTATAGCATTGGCACTATAAATACTTTTTGGAGCTAAGGAAAGCCTAAGCAATTTTCTGGTTAATTTAGGGATCTGTGATTGCAAACATGTATAAATTCATTTCTTTTTTTTTTTTTTTTAAGATTTATTTATTTGAGAGAGAAAGCGTGCACAAGGTGGGAGAGGGACAGAAGGAGAGAGAGACTCTCAAGCAAACTCCCTGCTGAGCACGGAGCGAGAGCATGATCTGAACCAAAATCAAGAGTTGGACACCCAGCTGACTGGGCCACCCAGGCACCCCCAAAAAATTCACTTCTAAAATAAATTTGAGATTACTCTGAAAAAACTCTAATCCCAATTAGTAACTGTAATTCATGGTAAATACATTAAAAAGAATTCTGTATATCATTTGCAGTAACGAAGAGTCACAGATTCTGAAGGGACCTTAAAAGTCATCTAGCCCAACCCTCCTAACCTAATATTTAGATAGAATAATAAAAAAACAAGAAACACCAAAATCAAAAAAATAATAGCAGCTTGCTGAGGAAAGAACTGACTTCTCTGAAACTGAGAACAGTCCAAGGAATATAATACAACCAGAAATATCCCCCTTTTCAAACAGGGACATCTGGTAATCAGTACTTTCATTAAAAAAGTATTTTGGCCTAATATGTCAAGTTGCCCAGGGCGGTTTTATCAGTCACTTGACTTCATTTTCCAGTTTCAAAGTTTTCAATTTGTTTCAAACCAAAAGAAATCAGACCATACTGTGGGTTGATTTTAATGAACAAAATTATCTGTATAAAAACATTTAAACTTTATCAAATGCTTTAAAAACACACACGCACAGATCCAAATCCATTACATAATCTTTGAACATTATCTCTTTTCACCTCAACATGAGTGAAGGGACTTCTGGATAAAATTCTACATGTGAAAAAAAGACAACCCATAGTCTCACACATGTATGCGCGCGCGCGCACACACACACACACACACACACACACACTCTTTAAGAACTAAAATACTTGGGAAAAGTGTGACTGGGATGGGAATGAATTTCTCAGAAAGCTTCTATAAAAGAACACTACACAGGTAAAAGAAGTTCCTATGCCAAGGGAAGATGCAGAGAGGGGAAAAAGAAAGCAGGGCTTAGCCAAACTCATTAATAAATAGTTTGAGAAGTTCATTCAAGAACAGTGAATTGGGGGAGTTACAGAGGACCCCTCATTTTCACCACCTCAGAGTCTGTGAATCTGATAACCGATGATGCTTCAAAAGTACGTTACGTTCTCGGTTTTTTACAGGTCTTGATCTATTCATCATTATTTAGGTGTGGTTTGTCCCTGTCAGCGGTGGATTCCTCAGTTGTCATGCAGTGCTCTGCTGTCCTATCCACCAGAAGAGCCATGGTCAGAGACGGCAGCAAGCGTGACATCGCAGCTGGTGGTTAAAGAGCCAAGATTGCCCGGGTTTGGATTTCAGCGACACTATGTGCTAGCTGCCTGTCACTCGGCAAGCTCCTCAGCCACTTTAGGTCTCTGTTTCCTCACGTTCAATTAGGGATCATTATTGCCTACTTCATAGAGGATTGTTAAATAGGAGCTCAACAAGGTAATCCACTTAAAGGATGTGTCACACTACGAGGCACAAGCAAATGCTCAGTAAATGTCAGCTAAAATTACTATTAGTCTTGGTATTACAGGGCAACCAAAAGAAAAATTCTATTTCTGTATTTCTCCTCTTTGGTGAGGTTTTCGGGGGCCAACTGTGGCAAAAGCCAGTACATATGATGCAAAAGAGACTGAGGATCTAGTCTTAGGAATATAGATGTTCACTTTTATATTAAAAAAAAATTACATGGCTCCATATCACAAAATTTAACATCTTTCCATTAAACATCACACAATTATCATCATCATTATGCCCTACAAACACCCTAAATGGTGTGGAGTTTCTAATGATATTCAACAACAACAGAGTCCATAAATTTTAACTAAGAAACGGCTTCGGAAATGCACATTGGGCAATAATCTGTGTGTGCCACAGGAGCACGGCCCACAGATGGCTAGGGTTCTGCTTCTTTGGCCAGGACTCCCCCATACACAGTCGGGTGGGTCAGGTTCCTGCAGACCTTCAAATCTCCAGGAGCGAGCGACTCCCCTCAGGAGGGAAGCTTGCAAGAGGTGAAGGAAGCAGCAACCACTGAGGATGGAATGCCCGGCACCTACTTCAGTATGATATGATAGCTATCATTGGTTTCTGCTGTAAAAAAAAAAAAAAAAAAGAAGAAGAAGAATCTTTAGTCACTTCTAAAACACAGCAGGAGGAAAAATATATGGTAAGGATCTTTTGAGAAGGGAGGAAAGGAAAAAACAGCAGGACAAAGGGCAACATACTTAATTAGCACAAAATGCTTACAGTAAATATGCGTTATAAAAACAATTGCTTTAGTTCCTCATTTGACCACAGAAAATGGGAGGGAATGGGAGAATCATCAGTTACACTTTGTCTACCCTGATGATGGCAAGAAGCCAATTCATACAAAGGAATAATCTCCAAAGCTGTCACTTTCCCCACTTCAAGTATGGTGTTAATACTTTCATTTTCTCCTCAAAGAAGTAAAACCATGAAAAAAAAAAACTCAAATTCCATAGAGAGAGGCATCTGTCTTACTATTTTATTACCTTTCATTGTGTCCAGAATAAAACAGGCTTCTTCCTGAAAGTTCTGTATCATCTGAGAAAAGTAAGAAAAGTTGCTAATTATTAAAAACTTGGGTTTGCTGCATTTATTCAGACTATATGGCTTTTCATTATATTGGATTTAAGGGAAAAATAATCCTTTGTTTTGTGTTCTCCCATTCAGCTTTTAAGTTTTAAAACCTTAACAGTCTAGGGGTGCCTGGCTGGCTCAGTTGGTAAAAGCACACAACTCTTACTCTCAGGGTTATGAGTTCAAGTCCTAAGTTGGGCATTGGAGCCTACTTGAAAAAAATTTTAAAATAAAAAAATAAAAATAAAAGCTAAGCAGTCTAAAACAACTGATCTTAAAATAACAGTATGCGTTTTCCTGGGTTAACCTCAAGTTCCAAGGGTACTTGGACACTGATGGGCTCATTCGGGAAAATCCAGGTATGTATCTTCCATATATACTCTTACCCCAAACCATGGGAGCGCCTCTTTGATTTCCCCTACCCACTTTGCCTTCTAAACTCCCTTCTCTCATTTTATAAAATAAAGGCATAAGTTTCACCCTCCTGGAATCCTACCAAGCTGCCCTGCCCCAGGGTACAAAAGTCCCCAGGATGCCAAAGTGGACTGTTAATGTGAACTTTAATGACTGGGTAACAAAGTCTTATGTGAGTCACATGGTTTCTAATTCTTTCCTTGCACCAGAACCAAAGACTGACCTAATCACTGTCAAATGATAGGTGAATCAAAATAATTCTTTGTAACATCACTATATAATTTCTGGCACCTAACGCAAAAAAAAAAAAAAAAAAAAAAAAAAAAACAACAACAACAAATCCAGTGATGCTGTTATAAAAAACTCCATCCATTCCTCTCTGTCAATTTGTGGGAATCAGATTCCATAGCACTTATATCTAGGAGGATAAAACAGAAGGAAGTGGTGCTGAACTCTTTCATTCTAGAAATCAGTAGAGAGTATTCATCTATACATGAATTAATGTGGGCAATCCCATCCATCTCATTAATAGATACACTTCTAATACATTTTTCTTAATGTTTAATAATTTATCAAAACATGTAATACATTTATGTTTATTGATTATATAATTACGGTGATCATTCTATTCAGAAGAAATAATTTTTAAATTTTAGTGAAATTCTTTTGTTGAAGCAAATCTGTTTCAAAGAAATATGATATAATTAATAAAAGATGTTTGAGCATAAAAATAGGTTTTGGAAAGATAAAATTCTATGGGAGAAGTGAATTGAAATAGGAGCTCAAGGAAACAAAGAAAGGATACAAAAACTTAAAAATTATATCCATGTATTTCTTTAAGACAGTGATGGTGGTATTAAATCACTCTTCTATTTAGGTTACATGGAATATAGTTAGAATAGTGATGTAACCATTTCATTTTTAAAGGTTATATAATATGCCCAGAAATGACATATTTTGCAACTATTTAAATTTAAAACAAAAAAAAAATTTTAAGTCAACCTAAAAATGTGCAAGAGGATACGTGGTTTTTAAAAATTATTTTAGAAAGTAAGTAAGCAAAAACATTGGAAAAGCCCTGGTCTAATCAACAGAGCTCTGTGCCCCCGTAGGACTGCTCTTGCTCCTGTCACATGCCCTGACGAATTGTCATGTGGTAGTTCAGCTACACCGAAAGTCTACCTCGTCACTAATGAGCACATGGATTCCTGTTGGCCCCTGCTTGTAGATCTGGCTGATTTGGCGAGGGGAAATGCTGAAAAGCTGAGCAATTTTTTCGGTCAGTTCAACAGCAGTCAGTTCTTCTAGATAGATGGCGTGGTACACTGCAAAAGGGACAGAGCAATGGCAGTCAGTACACGTTTCTCTGCTCTTAAAAAGGTAATCTGATTACTAGGAACGCCCACTTTTCTAAAGGACTCAGAGTCAGACTGCCTGAGTTCAAATCCTGGCTTATCCACTTGCTAGCTGTGTGACTGCAGTGAGTTACTTACCATCCCTAAGCCTCCTTTTCCTCATCTAAGTGTTAGTGATAACAATAAGCCTACTGTAAAGTAGAGATGCCGGTTGTAAAAATTAAAGCATGTAAATGTGCTGAGAATAGAATATATATGAGGAACTCAATAAATGTTGGCAATTACCATTATTCTAGGAAATGCTGAAACTGCTGTTGGAGGAATTCCCATGGCACAGGCTCATAAGTCATCTCCTCCCCTTTCTTAACGTGTGTCCTGGCCTGTCCAGAACGACCTACCGAAGAAAGTACCATTTGAGTCTCCATCCTCATGCTTCTGCTGTTGCTGCTGCTGCTGTTGCTGCTGCTCTCTCAACTGCAAGGATTCCTGACAAACATAAATGGTTAGCCTTGGGCGCACCATCCTGAGGAGGAAAACAAGGTTGTTAGTCTTACGGTTTTCGTGGGAAGCACCTTTTAAGGGAGAACTTGTGTGTCTACATTAACACTATGGAGTTGTGGAGTTGAAAACTAGCAGCCTGTGGACTAAGGAAGCTCATTTGCTGTTTGATTAGCTCTTCATTGGGGTGCATGTGAGCATGTGGGTGTGCGCCCACGTGTGCGTGTGTGCATTTTAACTGAATTTGTTCCAACATCATATAAACCTCTGAAATTCTGGCTTTTCTTGAAAAATTAGATCTGGCAATCTGAGACCCTCATTCTTACAAGAAAACAATCGGCTGTTCTCCTTGCATGATGCATGCATTCTTTAGTATATCCCAGATTTGACTGTTGCTCATTATTAACATGTAGCCTCTGTAGTCATTTGAGCTTATGATCTTTGATGTAAACATTAGAAATACTCAAAACGTGTGAGCCACTGTTGCATGGGTCCAGTTCAACATATACCTTCTCCTTAGAAGTGCCACTATAAAACAGGGAATATTATTTCCCTCAATTACCTTCTCCTAAGTAGTCTAATAAGCCTCCTGTCCATTTTTACTTCTTAGACACCGGTATTCAATTATCTCTTAATCTGATCATCTCATTCCTATTTTTAACTGTTCTTTTATTTTTTAAGAGGGCGTGGATGTGTGCACCCATGAGTGGGGGTGGGGTGGGGTGGTCAGGAGGTGGGAAGGTGGCTGGAGGAGGAGCAGAGGTGGAGAGAGAATCTTAGGCAGGATCCATACCCAGCATGGAGCCCAAGGAGGGGCTCCATCTCACGACCCTGAGATCATGACTTGACCTAAAATCAAGACTTGGACTTAACCGACTGCACCACCTAGGAGCCCCTTAAATGCTCTTCAAATAATATGTTTTTAAAAAATGAAAATCCATTCTTTTTTTCTCCAAATCATGAACTTCTGAATTTTTCCTCTTTCTTTAAAATTTTCCGAGATCAGAGCCAACCTGATTCAACATTTCTTGTGATGTACCCAAACAAAATACTTCACAATCTGTTTCATTAGTTAGTCACTGATTTGGTTCTGTGGCATTAACCTGTATGTTTTTTCCATTAATATTGCTGCCTATTTCAAAGTGTAAATCCCAAATAAGGCCTACAAATTGCTCTGTACTATAGTTTGTAAGTAAACACTTAAGTAGTTCCTCTCCAATTCAAGAATGACCTCAAGTTAAATTGGACTTGGGGCCTTTGCACCTGTTGTTACCTCCTGCCCAGAGTGTTCTTCCATCATATGACCCCACAGCTTCCGTCCTTCTCATAATTCAGTGTAAACACCCCCACCTCAAAGAGGTCTTTCCTCACCATATTCTGGGTACTCTATAGGTTATAACCTTGTTTTTGTTTATTTCTTTGGTTTTCCTTCAAAGCACTTTTTACTATTGAAAATACTATTCATATTTTTATCTCATTCCACATTAGAAAGTAAACTCCTAATAATGAGTCCCTTGTCTGTTTTGCTCCCCAATGTATCCCAAGAGCCTACAATAGAACCTAGCTCACAATAGGGGTAGAGTATTTATCAAATGCAAAAACTACCTAGAACTGAAAAATGGGATATCATGGGGAATTCCTTGGATCAGCTATAGAAAAGGGTATTTTTCATATTCGTTGATTTGGTACACAGCTGGCATTCAAAAAGAATGTTTTGACAAAATGTAGTTAGCTGTGCAGAGAGTACTACGGAGAGTCCTGAATCCAAACCCATTTGAAATCCAACCTCACTGATATTTTTACACTAATTACATACCGGCCTTTTAATGCATTAAAAAGTCTGATTCCATCTGCAGGGCCACAGATTTGGATCACATCATCTCTAGTTAGTTTCAATAAATCTGCCCCTAGAATAAATATAAGAAAACGGGTCATAAAGGCAAAGACTGTCTTTGTAATGACCATTGAAATGGTTATGTTATGTTACAGTCCATAATCTTTTGCATAATACATAAGCCTCTCCATGACCTGGCCCCTGTTTCCTCTCCCACCTCAACTGCCACCCAATTACCTTACCCACTTAACTATATGCTTTCATCACACTGATGATATCTAATGAGCAAGCTGTTCGTCCAACCTAAAATATCCTTCCACTGTCTGACCAACAGACTCTTCCTTATCCTCCAAGAGTTACCTTAGGCATTATACATGTTCCCTAACCCCAGACACTCCCCCAATACCCTGCTTTATACCACTTATCTACTGCATCACAACAATTTTTTTTTTCAGGGCTTTATTTTGATTTGATTGGGGTTTTTGATTTGTTTTGGGGTTTTTCTGATACTAGATGATGAATGATCAAAAAGTATGCCTTACCCTTTTGTGTATTCCTACCATACCTGGTACCCAGAAGGTGCTAAATAAAAGTGGAATGTACAAATAAAATACAATACAGTGATATCAAGGGGGAAATTTCAAACTACCTACAAATGCCCTTGATAAAATACTGTAAGGAATATACATTTTAAAAAGTATTGTGTAGAATAAATATTTTTAAATTAAAGTAAGTTTAAACTAAGAAGTCTTTCCTCTTAAATATTCACAGCACAGATGCAGCTGGTGAGACAGTCTGAAGGGTTCTATGAAATTCACTTAATTCTAAAAATGCACAAAGATCTCTCTCTCTCTCTCTCTCTCTCTCTCTCTCTCTCTCTCACACACACACACACACACACACACACACACACACCCTCACATGTATACTAGAAGGCCGTAGAATGTAAAGGAATATCCTGTGCTGAGAAAAACAATAGGACAAATAAATTTAACCTGAGAAGTTTGTAAAAAGCCTTGTGAACGTAGAAAAACGATTTCGATGCAACCACTGCTGAGCTTCCTGAGGTGTGGTTGTTGGCAAGAGGTTCTGAAAGAGAAAGCAAGCATTTCCCCCCCCCCCTTTTTTTGGTAACTAAAGAGATTTATCTCTTACATCATTAGGTAACACAAAGCCAAACACACCCACACTCAAGCCTAGTTTGCTTGGAAGTTGTTTATACCTCATTGATCTTCTTTCCCTGACCATGTAAGAAGCCTATGGAATTCCATTCTTATCTTCCTTACTAGACTGTAAGCTCTTTAAATGCAGGGGTCCCTACATTAACTTGTTTCACATCTCTCGTCCCTAGCATAGAGTCTAATTCATAGTCAAAATTCAATAAATCTCTGTTCAATGAATAAATATTACTCCTTAAAAGTTGGGCATTTCTACTGAACTGTGGAGTCATCAAAGTATTAGTAGACATTGCAAATAACTTACATTTAATTTGAGACTTACATCTGTGACTGGAGGGGGTGGCTCTGGCTGGTGGTTTGGTGAACCATTTCTAAAGAAACATTGAAAATGAAAAGGATGAGTCCATGACACAAACTAGAGTTCATCACTGATTCTTCACCCTAACAGTCTAAGCTAGAGATATTTTTTCTTTTAAGATTTTATTTTTAAGAGCAGCCAGGGGTGCTCAGTGGTTTAGCACTGCCTTCGGCCCAGGGTGTAATCCTGGAGACCCAGGATCGAGTCCCATGTCAGGCTCCCTGCATGGAGTCTGCTTCTCCCTCTGCCTGTGTCTCTGCCTCCCTCTCCCTCTCCCTCCCCCTCTCTCTCATGAATAAATAAAATATTTTAATAAAAAAAAAGATTTTATTTTTAAGTAATCTCTATACCCAATGTGAGGCCTGAACCTATAACCCTGAGTTCAAGAGTTGAGTGCTCCACTGACTGAGCCACCTAGGCACCCTCAAGCTGGAGATCTAAAAGAATCTGTGCTGTTGCATAAAGCACTCTTAGTCTTATAGTCAATACTTCTCTTACCTAAAACATGACTCTTAAATCCTATATAATTGCCTATGAGTGCATGTCTGGCTCAGTCAGAAGAGCACGTGACTCTTGACCTTGGGGTTGTGAGTTCAAACCCCACACTGGATGTAGAGATTACTAAAAAAAATAAACATTACAAAAAAATTGCCTATAAGTAGACTGCATAATCCATATGTATGGTAAGAGATTTTTCTTTCAAAACATATTTTCTTCTTTTTCTTTTTTTGCCTTAGCTGCAAAATTCAAACTCAGTATTCAAATTTAGTAATTAACTTATCACCAGGCCCAATTATCTATTCCCTCTATAACTCCTACCTATTTTTATTCTTAATTGTTATATTTTGAATATTGACGCTACCTTAATTACTTTTAGAAGCAGACTGAACAAAGAACCTACATTGAAAAACAAACATTACAACCAAAAAAAATCACACATTTAGTAGCCTATTTCAAATTTCAATATGACTTACGTAAAATATGTGTTAAATGCTAAGACTAAAGATAACTTATTTTAACTGGCATAGGCAACTGTACAAACTTTCAATTATCTCTGATGATAAAAGACAATGAGCAAGATTAAATATATCCTATAGATAATTATAAAATTTCATTTTGGCTATCATCTTAAACCTTCTTCCCAAATTATCAAAGATCCATAATTATTAGGTATTAGGATTATCTTAAAAAGTAATAAAACAGGAGTGCCTGGGTCGCTCTGTTAGTGAAGCATCTGCCTTTGGCTTGGGTCATGGTCTGGGGGTCCTGGGATTGAACCCAGCATCAGGCTCCCACTCAGCAGGGAGTCTGCTTTTCCCTCTCCCTCTGCCCTTCTTCCTCCCTGCTTATGCTCTCTCTCTCTCTCAAATAAATAAATAAAATCTTCTTTTATATCTTAAAAAAAAAGTAACAAAACAGATTTTCGTGTTTGTACAACTATATTTCAGTTCCTTAGGACCACACTAGTGAAAGTATGCACAGGAAGTGAAATGACCACAAGGTAAGCAGTGACAGAAGTGAAAAGCCCAGAAAATCAGTCTCTGAAGTCACTACAAATGGGCCATAAATGTTGTTTTCTTTTTTTTTTTTAATGGTGTTTTCCAATAGGAAGAAAGAAGAGGAGGAGAAAGGACTGCATAAAACTCTTTTCAATCACTTTTGAAGATAATCCAAACCTCAGCTAATCCATGGATCCATCAAAGAGTGACTGAATAGAAGGACTTATTGATTTAGAAAGAGCTTCTATAGGAGAAGATAATGAGAGAAGACATATTTAGGACAAACACAACCAAATTTCATTTCCTACACTTACCCTTCCCCAAGAGAAAAACTGCTGTGGGAACTGTTGAAGCCAGGTGATGGGGAATTATTGACATATGTGATCTCGGGCCATGGAGAACACTAAAAACAAAGAACAACTTAAATACTGAAAAAGTACAGGTGACCCTAGTGTCCCACCGAAACATTGTTACTTGAATAGCACATCTTCATCAGCAAATCTTAACTGCACTAGTAAATCTTGACCAGGCTAGAAGTTGTGGGTTTTGTTTTTGTTGTTGTTGTTGTTTTCCAATTGAGATATAATGGACATACAACACTGCATTAGTTTCAGGTGTACAACATAATGATTTGATATACATATATAGTGCAAAATGATGGGATTTTCTTTTGAAAATAAATTCGGAATAAATTGAATTTTGAGAATAAATTGAGAATAAATTTGAAACCATCACCAAAAAAAATCCTTTTACCTCTGTAAGTATAGTTGTCTCATAGGAAGGCTGATATTTCTCCTTTTCATGAGGTGTTCGTTTCTCCATTTTCTCCCGATCTGTTTTTTGCTTCCTGTCTGCACCTTTGGGCTAAAAAGAGAAATGTTTTGTTTTGACTCATCAACTGACATTTGACCCAACAATATTATTTCTAAAGCTTAAACAGTCACACGTGAAACAAGGATGTATGTATAATGATGTAAAGACAAGATGGATCCTTGCATCTAAGTCTGAAAATAGGAAATTTAACTGTGTGATGGAATTGAAAAAGAATAAGAGACCTAGGGACACCTGGGTGGTTCAGTCAGTTGAGTGTCTGCCTTTGGCTCAGGTCAGGATCCCAGAGTCCTGGGATCGACCCCCATGTCAGACTCCCTGCCCAGTGGGGAGTCTGCTTCTCCCTCTCTCTCCCCAGCTCGGGCTCTCTCTCACAGTCTCTCTGTTAAATAATAAGAGATCTATAGCTATGGACATGGATCTCTAAAGCACATAGCAAACTGAAAAAAAGCAAGCTTCATAACAATTCATACAGTACAGTCCTATTTATGTTTTAAAGACAAGAAAACATGTGTATACTTAGGTACACACATATATAAAAGCATGGAAGGGAACTAGAAGGATATATGCGAAAATATGACCTCTGGGAAAGGTTGGGAAGTAAGGGTAAAAGTGGTAAAGGGGGACTTCAGTCCGAATACTTCTGTATTAATTAATCCTTTGCAATGAGACTACATTTATCTGTGTGATAAAAACAAAGACCAAAATAACAAAAGAAAGTCAAGTACCAATGTAATCAAAGCTATCAACATTTCATAATTTTGTGAGCTTTTACAAGAGCTTGTAATTTCAACAGACTTTAAGAGCTTTCAGCGAAAATCCGTGTTTTAGCCTCTACTTCCCTGTCCACGTTCTCCTTCTCCCATGCCTATCCCATATAAATTCATTACCAGGCATCTCAGGAATTATTATCTCAAGAACTCTGGCCTAGACTAGTTTTCACAGTTGTTGAAAAAGGAGAAGTTAACTTTCTGACTTTGTAATTAATGTTAAAATTGAAAAATGAGGAAAATGGATACAAGGGACAGCATGACGCCCAGGAATACCTTGAAGACTTTGATCTGACAGCTGGCTGAGTGTAAGTGCTCAGTATACTCCCCATTTTCATTTTCCTTGAAGGTATCAATTTGTACTCGGAACGGCACTCCCTTTTCTCCTCCATGCTTCCTCATAGTGAACTCTGTGCTAATGCAGTGTACCTACAAAGAATACAACATCCAGGTTTCAGTACTGCTAGCTAGCCACTTCAGTCAACAATATTTTTTGAGCAACTACTAACAGCAAAACCTTTAAAAACACTATGAACACCTATAAAAAAAAAAAAAAACCTTTCATGCTAGGGGACCTGGTCGGGTCAATGGTACAGTATATGACTCGTGGTCTCCGGGTTATAAGTTCAAGCCCCACATTGGGTGTAGAGCTTACTTAAAAACATCTACGTAAATAAAATCTTAAAGAAAAAAAAAAAACCTTTTAGGGATGCCTCACTTAAGCATCTGACTTTTGATTTCGGCTCAGGACATGGTCTCAGGATAGGGAGATTGGGTGCTATGCTCATAAGGAGTCTGCTTGAGATTCTCTCCCTCTGCTCCTCCCCCTGCTTGCCTGTACATCCTCTATCATTCTCTTTCTAAATAAATAAATAACATCTCAATAAATAAACTTTAATTCTCTTATTGATCTTAAAGAATGTATATTCTAAAGGAGGAAATAAGGAAAATTAATTAGTTACAAATGAAACAAAGTAAATATACAGATCCAATGCTAACAAAAGCTACTAGGAGGAACTACGTTCATTAACTGCTTCAGAGAATACAGAGTTAATATAAAAGAGAAATGATTTCTGTTAGTAAAAGTTTCCTGCACTTTAAGGTAGAGTTTAAAAAGCAGAGGCACCATTCATGCTGGGAAAATAGCAAATATGAAAGGTCACAGGCAATAGTGGAAAAAAAGGTTTGCAAAGGTTTGCTTGCTACTGCATAAAGTGAAGACTTTGGTGAATCTTTTTTTTTTTTAATTTTTATTTATTTATGACAGTCACAGAGAGAGAGAGAGAGAGAGAGAGGCAGAGACACAGGCAGACGGAGAAGCAGGCTCCATGCACTGGGAACCCGATGTGGGATTCAATCCTGGGTCTCCAGGATCACGCCCTGGGCCAAAGGCAGGCGCCAAACCACTGCGCCACCCAGGGATCCCGACTTTGGTGAATCTTAACAGTGAAACCTTGACTGATCAAATATTAGCTTAGGTAAGTTAATTGTTTAAACTCTCAATTTTTAACTTAAAAGTTGTTAATTTCTCTAAGCCTATTTCTACCCTACAGGATTATTGCTGAAATTTTTAAATAAAATAATGTATACAAACTGTTTACTTAACACAGTGACTATCTAATGGTACATAATAAACCACAGCTTTCTTTATTACAAATAAGAATTTTAAAGGAGGGACGCCTGGATGGATCAGTGGTGGAGTGTCTGCCTTTGGCGCAGGTCGTGATCCCAGAGTCCTGAAATAGAGTCCTGCATCGGGTTCCCTGTGAGGAGCCTACTTCTCCCTCTGCCTATATCTCTGCCTCTCTCTCTGTGTCTCTCATGAATACATAAATAAAATCTAAAAAAAAAAAAAAAAAAGAATTTTAAAGGAATCTACCCAACAGACATAATTGGATATATATAAACAACTTTTTTTTTAAGATTTATTTATTTATTTATGATAGACATAGAGAGAGAGAAAGGCAGAGACACAGGAGGAGGGAGAAGCAGGCTCCATGCCGGGAGCCCGACATGGGACTCGTTCCTGGGACTCCAGGACCGCGCCCTGGGCCAAAGGCAGGTGCTAAACCGCTGAGCCACCCAGGGATCCCCCCACCCTTTATTTTTATATAAACAAACTTTAAGCATAAAGGTGTTCAAAATAACTTTACAGATAGTAGGGAAAATTTAGAACAATCTAAATAATAATAGGGAAGTCATAGTGTATCCAAAGAATGGAATATTATACAGCCATTAGCAAGCATCTTTTTTGTTTGCTTGTTTTCTGTTTTGTTTTGTCATACAAATAAATAAATTGGGGAAATTAAAAGGGCAATTCAGACATTCCTCACTGCTCTCAGGCAAGTGTTGAGGAATCTAGACTTGATAGGCTAGAACCCTGTAAAATTTCAAATTCAACATGTTTTATCCTTCAAGAAACAAACTGGGTGGCTCAGCTGGCATCCAACTCTTGATTTCAGCCCTGGTCATAAACTCAGGGTCCTGGGATCAAGCCCTAAGTCAGGCTCTATGCTCAGCAAGGAGTCTGCTTGCATTCTCTCTCTCTCTCATCCCTCTGCCCTTCCTTCTGCTTCCTCTCTCTGTCTCTGTCTCCTAAATAAATAAATAAATCTTAAAAAAAAAAAAAGGAAAAAGAAGAAACAAATTGGTAGTAAGAGATGCTCTTCATAATGGGAATCCCATTTGCAATGCCCTACCTGAATAAACACAGATGTCCTCTTTGCTGGGTCCCACAGGAACTCCACTGTATTCAGTTGGGTTGGATTAGCTCTAGGATCGATTATACCCACGGACATTGGGATATCTGAGAAACAAAATGGTAATCATTGAACAATTCTGAGGGCCACTGGGTTTAAATAAGATAGCACTGATTGTTTTATTACTGGTCCCTAGTTACTAAGATTTTTATGTATCACACCCTAACCCTCTTTTTGCCAATGAAAAGGGTTTGATTAAAGCTAAAATGGACCTAAGTACTTTCTTTCTGAGTATCTTTTTTCCACTTTGAAAGGTTTTTTAAATAAGACAATTTAAACACAGTTTCCTTTTAATTTGCCAAAATTCTACTTAAAGATAGATTTAGTCTACACACTAGCTCCAGTGTCATGAAAATTGTAACTAAATCTGCTTCACTTACAGTTTTAAGATTAGTGTTACTGATAGAAGTATACTAAGGAGATTGCTATAGAAAGATAAAGCAGAGTGTCTGAAAAAAGGCAGAAGCATTGTATTACAGATAGAAGTGGGAAAAATTTAACATAGAGATTGATGCTGGCCTTAAAATTATCAAATAACCCTGCTATAACAGAGGAACAAATCTGATACTCAAGAGGGAAGCAAAAATGAGCTCTGGTAGAATTCTGCTTTCCATTCTACATAGCATATAATCAAATATCATTTCCTGACTTCTATTAATATTCAAACTGGGGAGAGAAAGCCGGGCTGATATCTATAACTATACTACCATTTGGGTCCAACAGTGTTAGTTGTGTTGGATTTATCCTAAGGTCAATTTGTCAAATGGATATCAGGATATCTGTATTAGAATCAGTGTTTTCTCAGGTCAAATTAGTAAGTACTTAGATTTGTTTACTAGTAGGAGATAATAACCAACAAGAGATCAAAAACATAGATGCCAGTATTAAAGTACATTCATGAAGAGAGACAGCATGTATGTTTGTAAAGGAACTTCCCTATGATTTAAGAAAAATAAATTCTACTCTGTGTAGCAAAGCAGTAGGGGAAGAATCTAAACTGCAAATCAAGAGACATAGATTCTAATCCTAGGTCTCTTAGTTTAGGTAAAACAAACCACTAATTTGCCTCTCAGTTATTAGTAAAATAAAAGAATTTGTAGCATTTGGGGAAAAACCTGGCCCCTTTTATACATACACAAAATAAAACATCAGACCCTGAATATCCAAAACAATCTTGAAAAAAAAGTAAAATTGGAGATGTCACATTTCCAGATTTCGAAACTTCCTACAAAGTTACAGTTATCAAAACAGTGTGGTACTGACATAATGATGGAGACACAGACTAACAGAACACAACAGAAAGCCCAGAAATGAGTCCTCACATACATGGTCGAATGATGGCTGACAAAGGTACCAAGACCATTCAGTGGGGAAAGAATAGTTGTTTCAACAAATGGTGTTGGGAAAACTAAATATCCACATACCCGGAATGAAGGTGAACTCTTACATCGTATACAAAAATTAACTAAAAAATGAATCAAACACCTAAATGTAAGACCTAAAACTATAAAACTCTTGGCAGTATATATACTTCCAAGTAAAAGCTTCGTTGGATTTTGCAATATTCTTAGATATGACAATAAATGCATAGGCAAGGCAATAAAACTAATTAAATAAACTGGATTACATCAAAACTTAAAACTTTTATGCATTAAAGGACATTATGAACATAGTAAAAAGACAATCCACACAGAATGGAAGAAAATATTGCAAATCATATACCTGATATGGGATTAATACCTAGAATACATAAAGAATGCCTACAACTCAACAACAAAACCAGATTCAAAAATGAGGAAAGGACTTGAATATACATTTCTCCAAAGAAGATATATATATAGCCAATAGGCACATGAAAAGATAACCAACATCACTAATCATTAGAGAAGTATAAATCAAAACCACAATGAGATAACCACTTCATATCCAATAAGATGGCTACTATTAAAAAAATAGAAAATAGTACTTGTTGGCAAGGAGGTAGAGTATTTAGAACCCTTGTTCACTTCTGATGGGAATAGAAAATGTGTAGCTGCTATGGAAACAGTATGGTGGTTCCTCCAAAAATTCAAAATAGAATTATATATATGATCTAAGAGTCTCATTTCTGGGTATATACACAAAAGAATTGAAAACAGAGACTGAAATAAATATTTGTATACCCACGTTCATAAGCTGCATTATTCACAGTAACCAAAAGGTAGAATCAACCCGGATATCTACTAAAGGATGAATGGATAAACAAAATGTGGTGTATATACACAACGGAACATCACACAGACTTAAAAAGGAGGAAAATTATAATGCATACGACTATATGGATGAACCTTGAGGATTATGTGAAGTGAAATAAGTCAATCACAAAAAGACAAATACTAGATGATTTCACTTATCTGATGCACCTAGAGTAGTCAAATTCATATAAACAAAAAATACAATGATGGTGGTCAGGGGCTGGGGAGAAGAGGGAAGGAGGAGTTATTGTTTAATTAATGGGTACAGAGTTTCAGTTTTGCAAGGTGAGAAAAGTTCTGGACACGGATGGCAGTGATGGCTGCATAATGTTAATGTACTTAATGTTGCTGAATTATTTACTTTAAAATGCTTTATAATGGTAACTTTTACCACAACTAAGTTAAAAAAACAAAAACAAAAAAGTCATCCTAAAATAATGGATGCAATTGTTATGGAACTGAAGGATCTACACTTCCAACTTCAATTTTGATATTATCGTCCCAGTAGTTTTTTATACTTAGTCAATAAACATTTCAGGGATTATGCTAATTGAGCCCCTGAAGCATTCTGAATCAATGTAAACATCAAGTAAAGAAACCAATTCTTGGGACACCTGGGTGGCTCAGCGGTTGAGCATCTGCCTTCAGCTCAGGGTGTGATTCTGGGGTCCCGGGATGGAGTCCCACACCGGGCTCCCTGCATGGAGCTTGCTTCTCCCTCTGCCTGTGCCTCTGCCTCTATGTCTCTCATGAATAAATAAATAAGATCTTAAAAACAACAACAACAAAAAAAAAAGAAAGTAAAAAAAAAAAAAAAACCACAATTTTCAGACCACACTTTTATAGGCATTTCCTGGGCAAGAGATTCCCTTAACTCACCAATATCAAGAATTCTATCTCCAGGTCGATTCCACCTCCAGCCCTCCAGCTGCTGATGTTCAGTATACTGCAGTCGTCGGTCATGGAACACTACACGGAATATACTCTGAAAGGAAGCAACAAAATCAAATGAGAGTGGGATCCTTTAAAAATCAGTGCTGATAAAGGAAAACTACCAGAATTCACCTCCAGTAGGTTTCTAGATACAATCTAAAATTATTTTTCTTGGGATCCCTGGGTGGCGCAGCGGTTTGGCGCCTGCCTTTGGCCCAGGGCGCGATCCTGGAGACCCAGGATCGAATCCCATGTCAGGCTCCCGGTGCATGGAGCCTGCTTCTCCCTCTGCCTGTGTCTCTGCCTCTCTCTCTCTCTCTCTCTCTCTCTGTATGACTATCGTAAAAAAATAAATAAATAAATAAAAATTAAAAAATAAAAAAAATAAAATAAAATAAAATTATTTTTCTTAAGATCTGTTTCACTCTAAAACCCATGCCATACTAAACTCTTTTCAGGGTAAAATTTATAATTGCTCAGATATAATCTCTATAGTTAACTGAAACCATATTTAAAACTTGGCTTAGGGCATCTGGGTGGCTCAGTGGTTGAGCATCTGCCTTTGGCTCAAGTAGTGATTTTGAGGGGATCCCTGGGTGGCTCAGAGGTTTGGCACCTGCCTTCGGCCCAGGGTGTAATCCTGGAGTCCTGGGATCGAGTCCCACATCGGGCTCCCTACATGGAGCTTGCTTCTCCCTCTGCCTCTGTGTGTGTGTGTGTGTGTGTGTGTGTGTGTCTCATGAATAAGTAAACCTTTTTAAAATAAATTTAAAAAATAACAATAGAAATAAACAAAAAAAATCTTTAAAAAAAATTGGCTTAAACATTAGTCCTCATGGATTGGGAAAAAAAAGACTCTTATTGGAAGCATTTATACTTCTCCTTACTGTTACCATGTAATATCCAGCTCAGCTCTTTGGGTATATATGAAAATCTCACCAGGTTCCCTGCTTGCTAACCCACCATGCAGCACTGAGGGTAAGCAGGGGTTAATGCTATCAATTTTCTTTTTGTTACTCTTATTTGTGGAGGTGCTTATTAATATCCCTCCCATCAACTTTTATAGTTGCTAATCAAATTCCCCTGTCCCAATTGTGCTGTGAATTCATTGCTATAAGTCTAGACTAAGAAAACTGTTATTTGGGGATCCCTGGGTGGCGCAGCGGTTTAGCGCCTGCCTTTGGCCCAGGGCGCGATCCTGGAGACCCGGGATCGAATCCCACGTCGGGCTCCCGGTGCATGGAGCCTGCTTCTCCCTCTGCCTGTGTCTCTGCCTCTCTCTCTCTCTCTCTGTATGACTATCATAAATAAATAAAAATTAAAAAAAAAAAAAGAAAGAAAACTGTTATTTGTCGATAGTAGTTTCTGTTTTTCTTGCTACTAGACCACGTATCCAAAGAGACACTGGAGCTTCTCTAAAAATCTCAAGGTGGTTACTCTATTCCACGCCAAAGAGCTTCAATGGACCAGGAGACTACTTTGACATAGAATGGTAAGCCTTCTGTTTTTACAGCTCTATAAAACCCATGTGAATGGGGGTGGGCTCACTCGTACTCCAAAGAAATAATGGTTTACCACTCTGCCAGCAAATTGTAGTAGGTAAGAGATACCACCAAGCCCTTTATGGAAGCAAAAGAACATTACCCAAAAAGGGTCAATAAAAGGATATTGTGCAGAGGAATGATTTACTCATTTTCTTTTACCTTCACCAACTTGCCATTAATTTCTGGAAGTTCTCCAAGTTTCCTATTGTCTAGCATACGAATTTCATAAGACTGTCCTGGAAGAAAAAGTAACTACATATTATATTCATAGATTCAGATTCAGAAAGAATAAAATTCAGCTGGTTGAATATACAAGAGTATAATATTATTAGTATTAGTAACAACTATAATCCTTTACTATGTGCCAGGAACAGTGCTAAGTGTTTTCATATATTATATCATTAATTGATATAATTTTCAAAACTATTATCAATCTCACTTTTACAGATAAAAGAATTGAAATGTAAAGAGTTTAAGTAGCTTGTCCAAGGTCACACAACTGGTCAATAGAGCTGGGTCAGGATTGAAAGAGGGAGATAGGAACTAAAAACGGGCAGGTACACAAAAGAAGGTAGCAATACACATCAAATATGACATTAAATGGTCACATTAGAAAGATGTACTTTTTACATATAAGTATACCTAATAAAATATCATCAATCCAGCAGATCTTCAATAACACTAACAAATAAGGAAGTATCTAACCTTGATTGAGATACGTCAGAGTTTCATCGTGGAGTTTCACAGCTGGAGAGGTGGCAGCACAAAGCACATACTGAAAAGGCAGGATTTTATTCTCATTATCAGGGGGCAAACTTGATTCTTCTTGCTTAAAAATGGGCAATGCAAGGACATCACTGAAATAAAGCAAACAACTTAGGTTAACATGTGACAGTGGTGCAAAAGTGGATTTATGTTGACACAATTTAACTGCAATTTGCTTTGGAAAAGTATAAACATTACTCACTTTGATAAAGTTTTTTCCCATTCAGTTCAGATTACCTGCTGTGCTATCCCCCTCACCATAACAATGTGGACAATGACAAATATTCACTGCTATAGCCATTTAGACAGGGGTTCCTAAAAGGGCTCTGAAAATTACATGCAGAGTTCCAAAATGTCAATTCCGGACACTCAGTAATGTATTTGTTCTTAGAAAGGCACCAACTAGGGACCCCTGGGTAGCTCAGTGGTTGAGTATCTGCCCCTGGCTCAGGGAGTGATCCCTAAGTCCTGAGATCGAGTCCCACATTGGGCTCCCCGCAGGGAGCCTGCTTCTCCCTCTGCCTGTGTCTCTGCCTCTCTCTCTCTGTGTCTCCCGTGAATAAATAAATAAAATCTTTAAAAATAAAATAATAATTTTTTTAAAGGCACCAACTGCAGTTATCTTTATAACCCTATCAGCTGATCTATGTGAGGACTAAAACAAGACTCAGAATTAATTCCTAGGAGCCACTTGAAAAGGACAAATCAACGACCAGGATATATTTCAAGATCAGCTTAGATTCTGTGAAATACAACTAACTAAAAGTGCTGTGTTTCAGTCCCTAAAAGCCTTAGGCAAATCTTAGACAAGCTCTCTAGTCTTCATTCCTTCATCTATAAAATGGGAAATCACATTTGCTGGTCTAGAGTAAGTATTTTGGAAACCATAAGGGACTAAAATTGATGTACAGGATTAATAATAATTTTTCCTCATAAACTCTAGTCATGGATTAGTGGGAAAGAATATCCTGGGTCCTCTTCTGGAGACCTACTGTTGTGATCAATATTTGTCCCAGACCAGACTTTAAAAGAATCTTAAAAGATGTACCAAATTAAAGAGTATTTCCAATTATCTCAAGACATGCCACAAAATTCTCAAAATAAAATGTTTTAATTAACTGTAAAGAATTTGTGTATGTATTCACTAGAACAACTAAAGTTAAAAAGAATGACAACCCAAATGTTGGCAAGGATGTGGAGAAACCAGAACTCCTGTTCTTTGCCAGGAGGCGTTTAAAATAACAAAAGCAAAAAATAAAAAAATTAAAAAAAATAAAATAACAAAAGCAATTTAGAAAAAGATTTGGCTGTTTCTTATAATAGTAAACATCTATCTGCCCTTTGATCCAGCTATTCTATTCATAGATATCTATTCAAGAGAAATGAAATTATAAGTCCACTCAAGGCTTGTACACAACTGCATATGGCATAAAAGCAAAAATTGGAAAGAATCCAAACGTTTATAATTAAGAAAACTAGATGCACAAACTGTGGTATATTCATACAATGGAATACCAGCAGTCAGCAAAAATGAAGGAATGCAACAACATGGATGAATCTCACAGACATAATACTGAACAAAAGAAGCTAGACAATAAGAATATATAATGTACGATTCCATTTATATGATGTTCTAAAATAGGCAAAACCAAGGAGAACAGTGGTTTCCCGACAGGGCAGAGATTGACTTAGAAAATATACAAGGGAACTTTCTGGGGAGATAAAAATGTTCTATACAATGCTAAGTGTGTAGGTTACACAGCAATTCTTTATATGCATTCTCAGCAATATGCATTCTCCCCCAAAGGTATGGAATTATGACAGGTAAAGACAACCATTGAAAAGAAAATGGCTGAACTCATGTAAATCTTAGAGACATTATAAATTCTTATTGGAGAAAAAAATAAGCAGAAAATGTTCTATTGTCCTAACAAATCCACAAAGGAGTAATGAAAATTTAATGGCATAAATGCTTAAAAAAAAAGAAAAAGAGGAGTGGAGAGGGAAGAGAAAAGATATTCCTCTTTCTGCTGATGTCTAAATAGCAAGACTACATGTTATTAGTTGAATCAGGGCACCCAAGATGCAAACCAGTTTTTTTTTTTTTTTTTTAGATTTTATTTATTTATTCTTGAGAGTCAGAGAGAGAGGAGAGGCAGAGACATAGGCAGAGGGAGGAGCAGGCTCCATGCAGGGAGCCCTATGTGGGACTCAATCCCGGGACTCCAGGATCATGCCCTGGGCCAAAGGCAGGCGCTAAACCACCGCCACCCAGGCGTCCCGCAAACCAGTTTTTATGAACAGAAGTTTCTTGTTGCTAAAAAGTATTTCAAAGGCTAGAAAAACAAAGGGTGCTTTCCTCTCCCTGAGGTCTGGAGGTATATATGCTTTGCTCAAAGAGTTGGGGTTGAAGGGAGAAGGTGAAGAATCCTTTTTTCTGCCCATATTAATGTCAAGTGAAACATACTACTGATCCCTTGAGACTATATAACACTGGAGAAATACTGGGTTTTCTAAAAAAGTACTCCAACCCAGTTCTTCCACTTCTCAAAATGAGGAAGCTACCAATGCTCTCACAACAAATAGTACAGAAAATAAAGCAAAACACTACAAAACTTCAGAAACATGATGTTTGGGAGACTTTGTTGTCCTATCATGCTCAATAAGTATCTCAATACATATCATTCTCAAATACACACATCTGATGATTCCTTGAAAGATTAATGAAGATTATCAGGAATCAAGGCAAATCGGATTTTGCAACGTAGCAACAGCTCAACCTTTTAGAGTGTAGGGCGTTTTCTTCTTCTCAAATATTACTACCTTGCAAGGCTAATTAATACACAGCAATAGTCCCTAGTCTTCTCAATATAATGTGGCTTTACATCTAACCCCTCATGACTAACCAAAGGACTGTCATTTGATGCTGAAAATTTTTAAATTTATTCTAAAAGTTACCCCTAAAATTAACGAACTCAAAACAGGCAAACCAAATACACAAAATTTTATATTCTCATCAGAGATATTAAGATCCTGAAACCTCAAATATATTTGAGTTACTCATGTTCTTGCTACACTACATTTCTTTTACCTTGCTGTGGGAGCAAGAGTACCATTCAGTTTCACATTTCTAGGGACAGAGGCTAAAGGTCACACTGGTGAACACAGCGCTAGGACTCTGTCTATAGCAAAGCAGTAACAGATTAAGTAAGCAACAATTTTGGAAATACAAAAGTCTGCTCCTTCTTAGAGGTAAACTGAGCATTGATTAGGAAAACCCACTGTGGTGGAGTCGAAGTAGTTGGTACCAATGTATAACTTGGCATTTTATTACATTCTCCAATTGCTTCATGTATTCTAAGCAATCTTTACCCCCAATATGGGGCTTGAACTCACAAACCTGAGATGAAGTGTTGCATGCTCCACCGACTCAGCCAGTCGGGCACCCCTGCTTCATGTATTTAATTTATTTCAATGAAACATAAGCTATTTGAAGGAGTAACTTCTCTTTTATGTACTTAGCAAGTATTTGTGGATATGATTTATAATTTTGCTTGCATTCTCCAGAACACTCAGCACTAGTACACCATGATCATTTTGGAGTCTGACACCTCACCATATCTCTGATCAAATATAAGGTACAGGGATCCCTGGGTGGCGCAGAGGTTTAGCGCCTGCCTTTGGCCCAGGGCGCGATCCTGGAGACCCAGGATCGAATCCCACATCGGGCTCCGGGTGCATGGAGCCTGCTTCTCCCTCTGCCTATGTCTCTGCCTCTCTCTCTCTCTCTCTCTCTCTGACTATCATAAATTTAATAAATAAATAAATTAATTAATTAAATAAAACTAAGGTACAGAAATCTCACCTGATAAAAAGATAAGTTGAGTATATGTTAAAAATGTGCATCGCCAAGTGTAAATTCACACCATGAATGGAAACACCAGAAAGCATCTGAGTGAAGGTAACAGAGGAACAATAGCATAATCAGGAGTGATCTTTCCTGTACATAACTGGGATTCCGTAAAGAGCCGCTTCATGGTCTCCTGAGCCATAAATCACTCTTCTGAGATACGGCAGCCTCTGAAAGGTCTGTACCAATTCACAACTAAGTACGAATTTACTTAACATTTTCCTCAGGCCTACCATCTGCTGAATGCCCTTTCTTAGAGAGCCCAAGAAGGGAGAGGGAAAGGTTTGATGAGCTCTACCTTGCATAAGAGAAGCAAATAGATAGTTTCCGTTTTCTTTGATGCTATGGACAACCTAACTTGGCATAATATGAAGTCCTGAACTTCTTACTTCCCTCATTTATGCCCTCATTTAGCTCCACCAGGATGAAAAGAAAACACCTGAAACAAAACACATCAATACCCCTATGTCAGTCCCAGGGTGAAAGGGCAAGAACTAGAGAAGCTACATTCTACTCTAAGGTCAACTTCAAAAGAAAAAAAATCCAGTAAATAACCAGTCAGAACACCTTGAAAAAAGAGAGGAAAGCAGCATAATTTCCTCTCTTGCTTTGGGAAGATTTGTGGGAAGGTTAGAAGGGCAGACCAGGGAGACCTGGTAAGAAGAGATGGTCCTGCAAGTTTCAACACAAAGCCAGTGAAATGTCCTTACTACTGAGTAATGGTAAAATAAGAGTACTTTCTGGTAGGAGCCCTCTGTCACAAAAAGTAATAAATTGAAGAATCTCATTCAACTAAAAAGCACCATATATAATAATTTAAAATTTGTTGGGATGCCTGGGTGGCTCAGGGCGTGATTCTAAACTGGGGATAGAGTCCCACATTAGGCTCCCTGTGAGAAGCCTGCTTCTCCCTCTGCCTGTGTCTCTGCCTCTCTCTCTGTGTCTCTCATGAATAAATAAATAGAATCTTTAAAAAAAGAACAATAATAAAAAAACTAAAAATTGTCTTGCTAGGGTGCCTGGATGGCTCAGTTAGTTAAGTGTCTGACTCTTGGCTTCAGTTGAGGTCATGATCTCAGGGTTGTGAGACTAAGCCCCCCTCCGCACTGGGTATGGAGCCTGCTTGGGATTCTCTCTCTCCCTCTCCAACCCCTCCTCTACCCTCCCCTCTAAAAAAACTGC